AGGCCTCTGCGGCCACCTGGGCTGCTGCCTCACCATACTCCATTGTGCCGCCATGCTGGATCCGCTTCCTTTTGCGCGATTTCCTTTTGGTCATCACTGCTAATTGCTCTTCAAGCTCAGTAATCCGGGCTGCTTGAAGCGCGTTCTGATGCAGCATAAGCTTGCCGCCTCTAATAAGCTAAGAGAAGCCTGCCTGCGCAGTAATAGGAGAACGTGTAAAGGACTCGCGTACAAGCTTTGATTGCGATCCAAACTCATGTGTATTGCTTAGAGTCTTTGACTGCCACGGCGTCTCTAGGAGGAGGGGTTCTAGCAGGGTACGCAGCTGCACTTTAAGGCGATCTAATACAACCTGCGTGTTAAGAGGGACAAGTCCTGATGCCTTAAAGGCCTTGCGACAGATTGCCTCTGTAAACACGTTGCAAAACGCGTCTTTAAAGGCTGGTAGGAAGCCTTCTTTGTTAATGTAGAAGACGCGCTTGTGTGCCAAGTCTTGTATGCGCTGAGAGTACTTGCGCTTCAACAGCGAGAAGCAGACCACATCAAGTGGCTGGAGGATGTGTGACGAGTGAGGTGGCATGCAGAGGGTGAGGATCTTATGTTTAAGGCAGTAGTCCTTGAAATCCTGGTTAAGGTGGCTCTCATGGCCGTCCAAAATGAGCAGCCTGTACGCCCCTACCTGGCCCGCCTTTGTATGCGCGTCAAAGTGCTTCAACCACTCTAGACTAAGCGCATTGTTTGTCCAGCTGTTCTAAGAGACTGAGAGCTTCTAATTGCGCGGTATATCTGCCTCCTCGTACCAGGCAGAGATGTGAACGCGTCCTTTGTAGATAATAAAAGGCAGGGTACAAGATCTAGCAGCGCAGACGCTCTAGATAACTGTTACCTATTCGCGATCACCTGGCTGAACGAGCTTAGGCCAAGTACGCCTCTCTGCGCCTGTGACAACCTTTATTAAGCTAATAACACCTATCTAGAAGCTAGTCTTGTTAAAGTTGTGCACGTTGTAGTCGTGTACGCTGTACTTGGCTCTAGTGTCCTCTACCAGCTTAAACCACGCGCCAATTGTCTCTAGATCCTCCTGCAGTATCCTCTGCCTATCTTTAGCTCGATTGAAGGCCATCTTAAGCTCAGCTGAGCGCGTTACAAAGCGCTCAGCCCAGTGCTTGCCAACCAGCTGCCCACCGCGTACACCCAACACTTTATCAGCCATATCTGCTACCTCGCACAGCTGGGGCGCGAATCCTCGCGAATCCAGGTTAAGGATATATTGGACAATTGTTTGCTCTTCTGTAAGCGTAAGTTTGCGGCTGTTAGGTGCTTGTTTAAGGATAAATAGGGCTCCTCTAACGCGTGTAGAGAGAATGCGTTGTTTAACGTTAAAAGCGCGCGCAGCTGCTCTCTAGCTTTTAAATTATTTTAAATAAAGAGCTTTAAGGGCAAGGTTAACTCTACCTTCGTGTTCACGTAGTAACGCGTTATGTGGTTGAGGCATGTTGCAACAAAGAGGGTGTTCGTTGTGCCAAGACATTTTGAGCTGTTGGGTGGTTTGAGCTGTTGGGTGGTGGAATACGTTATTCTATTAATAGGCCTATAATATTGTTTAATAGCTTATTTTAAAGAGGAGACTTAGTAGTATATTAATATAATAAAAGTATAGTTTATTAAGCAGAGCTACTATTGTAGCAGGATTAGGAGTTGTTGTGGCTATTACAGCCGTTAGGACCGTTGGAGCCGTTGGCTCAAAATTAGCTAGACATTGAATGCACATTGAATAACCGTTGTAGGCCTACAAGTCCTACTGTTGCCCACAGTACAATGCCACGATTTCCCGATTTCGACAACAGAAAAACTTTTCCCGATGTAGCTTTTAGCTAGGCCATAGGTTTAACAGGTTCTTAGTGCTTAGATAGACTATATTGCTAACTTCCTTATTAACTACAGTCTGCATTTAGAGTTAAGCTTGTTAAATGTTCTTCTTAGCTGTAGCCTAGGCGTTGTGTATACAAGTGGCTAGGGCTAAGGCATCCTTACAGTTTATAGCTTCTAGTCCTTTTCCTTTCCCCTGTTAGTTATTCTAGAACTAGCTCTGCTTTAGTTTAGAGCTAAAATGGACCTAATACAGGGTTATACTAGTTGTTAAGTAGGGTAGGGTTATTAAGGCTTAGTTAATTATAGGTAGTAGATTACTCTAGTTATCCTAGTAATAGGATACAGACAGGCACAATCTCTTGTTAATATACTTGTTTATAATTTTAATTTTAGCATCTATTTCCTTATAGTAGGCACTTAATAGTTTAACCTTCACACTAATAACATTATAGGAGGCAGACTAGAAAGTAGACACAAAGTACAGACTATAGTTTAACATAATAGATTCATGACGCATGCAAGGTCAACCGGGTCATGTTGCTTGCGAGAGCCACCAACAATGAGAAAAAACTGGAAAGAAAGTCGTGCTCCGTCTTGATGGCGGATATTTCCTTTCAATTCTTGGGAACATATTCACAGCCTCGATCGTGTAGCAGCAGGCCAGCGTTACGAACTGGACGTAGTACTGAAATATACATCTACGGTATACTGCAGTAGGCAACAATAAGCAGCTTTCATTATATTAAGCTGTAGCCGTACAGGGAGTAGCTGTAGATGAAGGCGTAATACAGCAGTACTACGCCAAAATTTAGTGTTTATTCAAAAGTATATTCAAACGAAGTTATTCTCGCTTATAGCAGAGTCTATGAGTACTCTGTGTTAAAACTTACGATCTATAGTAATAAAACTAGGGTTGAATTATATATTGTAACCACGTGGCTCAGATCACATAATATTCTATTGTAGCAGGCACTGGCCGGTGGGCAAGTGCACTTACCTGAGAGCTGAGAGCTTGAACAACATCACACAACACGACAACAGATAGCAATACACTCGTTGATCACAGTCTCCGACGAAACTGGTCACACAGTTTCATATATAGAGCACGTCTTTGCTTTTTTAATTTCTAGCATATGGCACGTACACAGCTATACTGCAGTACTACAGGGTACTACTGCAATTACTACTAGAGACTGTGTAGTCACATAATCCCGTAGATCACAGGGCGCTGCCGCTGCCTATAATTGCGGTAGGTTACGTCAATTGACCTTAACCGTAGCTGCACAAGTCCTGTTGGCAACGCTGTAGCAGGCCGCAAATCTTTGGTTCGTCAAAGCCGAACGATCGGTGGTTGAATCACTGCATCTGGTGTGAGCGACTGTGCGGCTGGTTCGGAGGTAAGCTTGCGACTGACATGTGGTGACCTTTGTACTCGTATCTCCTCAGGCATAGATGGCTTAGCAGTCGTTCGAGTTGAGATCGTTGATGTAGCAGATCGACGGGCTGCCACACATGCCTTGAAGAAAAGGCCGATCTCCGGACCAGAATCTCTTGTGCGATGTACTGCAGACGCTGACAGGTGAGCACGATATATTCCACTGCAGTCACGGGGAGGTAAATGGTGATCTTGAGCAGCAGCTCATCTGGGAGGTAGACTAGGATGGTTGTCATGGTTGCAGATACGAGTTCGGAGAAATTCTCAAGCTGAGTTTCATAGAGAGAATCATTCTAGCAATTCCATATGGTAAGCGCCCTCGTCGTCTCTCCTCACTACTGCGGCGGGGGCGCAACACAGTGATGACTCCCAATGCAATGTGTGCAGCAGGTCCTCGTGTCATTAGGCGCATTCATACCACAGGGTGCTATGTGACCGTGAGCGTGATATCTTTCACACATGAAAATCAAAACTTACACCAGCTCGGCAAACAATGTCCCTTACAAAATGTCAACTCCAAGTTTGTCTCCCTCTGACACTTCTTCCCCTGACTTCCCGCCGGCATCCTTCCGTCATACCAATCAATACTATCGCACGCCTCATCACTGGGCTGTAATCTGACTGTGCTACCTGCGAAACTGTCGCCGAAAAGGGAGCTCATGTCGTACCGGACAGAGCTGTCATTCATGTTGTAGGCGAAGATGAGTTGGCTGGCGTTAGGGGTGAAGATACCACCGGATGTAGAGGTAATCTTCAGGGCAATTCCTCCGGAGATGGGGTCTGTGTGGAAGAGCTCACCATACGAGCTGTCTTTAGGAAGAGTGGTTCGGTTACTGACGGTGCTGCCGACGGACCAGAGGTAGATGGGAGCGTCACATTGGTTTGTGACTATGGCGCGACCTAAGGCAAGAACGTATATAGTGAAAGAGCTGAATGTGGCGAGTGTCAGTGGAAGCTTCATGTTGGCCAGTCTTTGGAATGCTGTGGTTGATCAGAAGGACTCACCAGAGCAGTCGCAGCACTGCATTCTTATGTTTTTTCCGATACGCCACATCTTACATATCACGATAGTTATCAAACCACGTCCCTTGCCTGTTTTACGGACTATAATATCCTGTGCGACCATACAGCAAGTAAGTGGGTTGCAAGGCTGTGGCGCTAGTGAGCAAGACGATGGCCATTGGTCATCACATTCAGCCGCACAAGATCTCAGAATGCAACGAGCGCCAATCGAGTAGATCTTACACGTGTAGATGTGTTAATTGGTGTAAGGATGTCATCTGGCCTGGATGCACAGTAAGAGGCGAGGAGTCTCGCGCGCAACCAACCCCGATGTTACCGTGCGCCCACAACTCACACAGCAGCGAGATATATAACGTGAATCGCGAGCTTTGTGTTCATGTGGTGACGCGTATTGATTAGGATGACTTGTGATGCCTTTCCGCCCTAAGTAGTGGCTACAGATATGGCAAGAGATATCGTCTACTAAGTGAGCTAGCACGTAAGGGCAAAATCTGTGTTAACCAATGTGTTACAGAAAAAAAGGACTACTTACTCGCTATATATAAGCCTTACCTCACCCCTGACAGCTTCTTCAAGCCATTCCTTCAGCTGGACAAGCAAAGATGCAGTCTCAGGGGCAATTGGCATGCCTTTGCGCTTGACATTGACGACCAGCTTGGTAAGCTGAGGTAACGTCGGGATTTGGAAGAGCTCAAATTCCGTGAGTAAATGGTCCAGAGCCTTGATTCGACCCCGAATACCATGGTGAAGATCTTTGAGAGATATGTCGAAGGTGAAAGTGTTCAGGGACTCGAACTGGCACACAAAGTCCATTAGCTCATTTGCTCGAGCTGAAGTATGTGCAATTGTCGTGAAGTTGGAGACGGCAAGCTTTTTGATCTTGTAGAAAGCAAGGTCTGGTGAATGGCGTTCGAGAAGCGTGTACATCTGCCAGATATGCTGCATGGAGGCAATATTCAGATGCATCAGCGGGAGGTACCGAAGCATGAATTCCCGATGGACGACAACGCTGTCGCAAGCAATGACTGGAATGAGTGTGGCTGCCGTGGCCTGAGGAAGTTCGCAGATGACAAAGTCGTAGACCTTGTTCCTGATCTCTCCAGGGAAACGCATGAAATTAATGACGCAGGAGTCTGACCGCCCATGCTGGATCTCTTGGTTGACGTTGACAGAGTCGCGCAACATCATGGGTGGCAAGAACTGCATCTGATACATGTCAGCCACAAATATCAAGACCACCAACAAAGTCCTTCGAATAACAAGTAGCTATAGCTCGGAAAGACATCGTCCTCTGTCGACTTACATCAGTCGTGGTTCAATGTATACTTAGTCGCAGTGTGGTGTGTAGTGAATGGAGCAGGGGCAAGAATACGTTATATACTCAGCGCCATGAGGCAAGAAACGAGGTTCACCGCCTACTTGCACGCGACCCCAGGTGTAACAAGCGGTCAGCAACGTCGAGAGGTAAAATAGCAGTTGAAGGCAGCAATACTATCACCGGTTTGACGGCTGGCCCGGATATAGCGGCGCACCATAGGCGCTGAGCTGGCCTTCAATATGTCGCCGTACAATGTCGACCTGCTTGCGAGATTCTCAGCTTTACCGCGTCATTACTGGGCTACCAACATGTTCGTATAGTGTCATAGGTTTGCTCTTTGTAGGCAGATGTGCTCTCTTCGTCCGTGTGACCAGCCAGGTAAATACACATGATGGGATCGAATCAGGGCTCCACAAAGGACACCATTCCAGAAGAGGAGGAACCCGTATAAAGAGGTATATGATTCATAGACGGCAGTCGTAGCAGTATTGTAGCAGCAAGGTGAAGAGTACTAGGAGACCAGCGGAAAGTCAAGAGAATAAGTCGGTACCTGTGTCGCCAAGCTTAAGATGATCGGGATTGGAGTTCGTAGAGAACTCGTCGCAGGACGTCACCTGCAGTCAGGATAATAAAATTCTGCAAGCACAGCCTTCTCCACGAGGCCTACGCTTGGTTAAGCTTACTTGACATGTAGAAACAATATGGCGATGCAGGTTGCGTTAGGCATCCGTTGCCTCCATCGGTCGCGGATGAAGTGGCTTAAAAGAGAGAAGGTGAGTGGCAACTGGGTCTAGCAGCGACACAAGCCGCAGACACAAAAGATGCTTTGAATGTGCCCAGGAGGAGCGATGCCGTGAAGTCTGACAGGAAATGTAGGGACGGGCCGCAAGACAAGGCTTGGCAATGTGGGACCATGGGGCTGGGTTTCGCGACAAATTGCGAACCCTCGACGCGCTAGACCTCTATAAGAAGTATTTTTCAGGCTTGCATTGGCACTCAGATTGGAATACGATGTCCTCCGTATTGTTAGACGGCTCCCTCATACTCCGAGATAGTGAGTAAACGTCTTAATCCTTCCTTGTAGATCCCGACACGACGTACACGCAAACTCACAAAGGCACGTAGAGCACTTCCACGATGACGTCCCGACCAGTAGACACACCGCGGGAGTCGAACGATGAAGGTCTTCCGTTCTTGGACCACCCAGCGCCAGCAAAAACAAAGTCATGGGTGATCATGGTAATCCTCGCCTTTGCCGTTGTAGCCGTCATCGACATGGGCGCCTTCCTCGGCTAAGCCCCTCGCACCCGCGTATTCGAAGCCAACATCTGCTTGGACTACTATCGAGAGACCGACGCTTCAGTCATTGGGTCAGACGGCACCATACCCGAGAAACTGTGCAAGGTGGATGCTGTGCAGCAGAAGATGGCTATGATATTTGGTTGGCAGGAGATGTTCGACGCCATACCCAGCATCTTCCTAGCTATACCTTTCGGTGTTCTGGCAGATAAGGTGGGCCGGAAGTGGATCTTCACTGCGAGCTTGATGGGTCTACAGCTGAGCAGCGCTTGGGTACTTGGCATCTGTGAGTGCTGCTCTGTTGTCCCGGAGTTGCAAGGTCCTGCTGACGTTGTGAGGCTATTTCAAGAATCTTCCACTTCAGTTAACATGGCTGTCATCAGCCTTCTATCTGATTGTTGGCGGACCCATTGTTGCAGCAGCAATCGGCATCACCATGAAATCCGACATCGCGCCCCCCGAGAAGCGAACGACTATATTCTTGTACCTGACAGCTTCTATCTAATCGCCGAGATCGTGGCGCCGATCATGTCCGCAAAGCTGAGGAAATTGGAGACCGGTACCCTCCCGTTCTTGCGCTATTCTTCCAGCAACGTGGTATAATCCTGGCAGTCTTCTTCCCAGAAACCTTACACATGCGTGATCAATCACGACCAGCAGAAACCACTGCGAGACTGGTAGAAGTGAAAGCAAAGAATCATGCCTTCAGCCCAAAGCAGCAGATACGGCATTTCCAGGACGCTTTCGAGTTCTTAAAGAGTAATCGAACACTGGCGTTAGTTGTCTTCACGTTCATGGCGAACAGACTCGGTCGACAAGGCATCACACTGCTCGTGCGCTATGCCTCGAAACGGTATGACTGGGAGATCAAGCAAGCAGCCTATCTCTTGTCGTTCCGTGCAGCGACGAATTTAGCTGCTGTTGCCACCTTTCTTCCCCTAACCAACTATGTGCTACTCAATCATGTTCGACTGCCTGCGCATTGGGCCGATTTGTGGATAGCGCGCGGCTCAATCATTCTGACCGCTGTTTCCTTCCTCGTCATTGGTCTTGCAGCACATCCGGCTCTGCTCAATCAGCTCTTCCAGTGGGGCATGGGTCTAGGCAGTGTGTGGCTTGGATTGCCTTTCCTAACTGCCATGTTCGTGTTCGCTGGCCTTTCATTCAAAATCGATGTCAGCGCGAAAGAGGTGGCATACGCTGAAGTGCAGAGCGATGATGAAGACGATGTGTTTGAGTGTCAAGGTAGAGCAAGCACATCCGCACTGGAACAGGAAGGTATGCATCGACAATCACTATCGAGAGATTCCCTACACAGCCAACGCTAACGCCACATAGCAAGAATCAAATCCAATACTCTTGACGTATTTTGCTGTGCACATTACCGTGGTTCGATATTCTGCGCAACTCATTCTTCTGAGGTTTCGAGGTCTCCTGGCTGTACTTCCCTCGGGCGCACGCGAAACAACGTGCTTACCCACCAAATTTTCATCAAAGAAAGTGCAACACCACGACACGCACCCACCACGATGGCAAAGGTAGTGGCGATGGATTTGTTTGGCCCGAACGGTCATGGGCACATGCGAGCTGGCCGCCTTCAATCAACCGGTCTCATCTTGCCAACACTCCTTTAGCAAAGCTTTGCTACGTTGAACTGTTGTCTTACCACTCTACTTCACTGCACATTAGTCTTATATCGACGCTTCGATGCTTGCACGCGCATCCAGCGATGCCGGCACGCGTCTCCGCCGCTCCAAGTCCACCTCAACCGTGCATCGACACGGTCCGCCTCTTGTCGAGCCTCTGGACCCGGACATCGCACAACATCACGCCATCGTTGCTGCCACTGCAGCGTTTGCTCGATCCCATGCGCATGCCGCCGTCGAGCGCAAAGCAACTCGAAGCATCGAAATCGGCAGAAGCAAGAGCACCGCAAGTCGCAAGACGCTCACTTCGCAAGGCAGCCATTTTCCTCCGCGAGAGCTGAGTGTCCGGTCTGTGCCGGCACAAAAGAGTGTACAGACAAGTCGCTCCAACCGTTTCAGCGCCACATCTGCCACAGAGAAGCTCCCCTCGTTCGATCCGACGCCTCGTAGCGACAGACCGACGTCGGCGACACGTCCATTGTCCGCACAACCTTCGATCACCTTCAGCGAGTATGCACGGCCCACTTCCCAACCAAAGTCACATCGGCAGAGTGCTGCCTTATCTATCACCTCTCAGCAAATCAGGAAAGCTCGATCCATGTACTACGCGAGCAGCGTCCAGACTGGTTCCCCAATCGCACGGCCGCCTGCAAAGTATTTGACGACTCCACCGTCTGTCAGCACCAGTCCTGCGCCAACGACTTATGTGCCAACTCGAAGCACAGGTCCATCCCCACTTGCTGAGCCCAGAGTGACCGCAGCTGTTGCTCTGGACGAAGCAGTCGATACAGCCCGAGACAAAGTTCTGCAAGACTTCCAGCAGCAACAGCGGTCGATCAAACACAAGCCCTCGCTCTTTTTGGCGCCCTTCAAGAAGAGGCAGGACAAGTCAAAGAACAAAGCCAAGCATCTCCCATCGATTGCCACGTCGGTCCCGTCAACCAACTACTCGTTCGCGGATGATACTGTTCTGGATATCACTGTGAGCGACTTCATGCCCCAGGTGGAAGCGAAGGACAGACGCTCCTTCTCTGGTTCGCTGAAGAGTAAGATCAAGCGGGTCTTCAGACGATCATCAGCAAAGGCACCGAGTCTACCAGTTCAGCAAATTGAAGCGAGTCGCGAGTACTTTAACGATACGGCAAGGCAATTGGCGGACGACCATGGCGACATACCCAGTCCTGAGGAGCATCTGGTCCGGAGGGTGCGATCCCGTACGCCATCTTCTGACGGAGGTCGCACGCACCCAATAAGATCGGCTTCACGAAGCAGCAGCAAAGGCAGTGCTCCAAGTATTCGCAGCCTCTACAGTGAAGCCAACGCCTCACATGCATCTACGTCACGGGTTACAAGCTGGGGTACCTCGACCTCAGGAGAGACGCTTACACAACGCGCTATCAAACGTCTAACAGTTATCCACGAAGCCAAAGACAGCATTGGGAGTATGACCGATAGACCGTTGTCAGCGTCAACCAAGCGAAGATCTCTGCCTTTACCCAGCCTTTCAGCTTTCAAAGACCCAATGCACATGGAAAGCCTTGTGGAAGAGTCATCCACCCCGCCAGTCGACCCGAAACGCGTATTCTCAGCATTGATGCGCGAAATTGACGCATCGAAAGTCGCCGGAGGCTCTACTGGTGAAATTCGCACTCCGGGCACAGAGAGCGATGTTTTCGAGTCCAGCAAGACCGAGGAAATACACAGTAGTAATCAAAAATCTCTCTCGAGCGCCATCAAGAGTTCAGAGCTACCCCACAGCGTCGGGCAGAGTTCGGCGACGCATCGGCCAGCGAGTGTAGCAGCGCGAAGTGTCCAGTCTAAGAAAGGTTCTATCAAATCCTTTAGACAAGCCATCAGACCTACGATACGCACAGTCACACCAGCCGAGCACCTATCACCGCCTCCCCCCGATGAAATCGGCACGGGACAGCCCGATTCAGACACACCTTCATCCGGTACTTCGTCAGGATCTCGCGGTGACCACGCGAGCCGCGTATCACTGTTCAAGCGCCTTCGTATTCCCAAAAAAAAGTAAGTGTACAGAGAACGAAGTCCTCTTTCTCTTTAATTTCGCAGAATTTCACATACTGACTTCGACCAGAAGTGCAGATACCTCGATTGAGACCGCGACACCAACAACAACGCAGATCGAAATGCGAGTTGCGAGGGCAAAGAACCGTTGGCAAACGCCTCTGAACGAGAGTTCGACCCCCCAGTTCCCACGTGAGACGGATCGACTATATACTGTGCTCGACTTCTTCCAGCAGCAGTCAACTGATCGAGTCACTGCCGCCGTTGAACGACCCCCCCCTCCAAAATCACCACCGGCGCAGCTGTCGAATTCAATGCAGACACCCATGTCTCCCAGTATCTATTCCCGAAATACTGATGGGGCCAGCATACTTCCCAATGACAGTGTGGTGTCTTTCAATAGTCCCTATGAGTTCGATCGTGGACATCAAGGTGGCTCAGCGGTGATCTTGACCAGCCAGTCAGTACGCAGCTATGTCATCGGTACTCCCTCTCCAAACCGACCGAGTTCCACACGTTCAAGTCGCGACTGGAAAGCATGGTTGTCACATGAGGTGTCTGGGATTGAGACAGCAAGCCAGGAAGATATCACGATACATCAACAGTATGCCACACCATCAGAGAAGGACGAGCATGCTTTGAATCAGACCATCCGCACCTCACATACTGGTTCCGAAGATACAACGGTCATTGTGCGCGAGTCCTTCGAGACGTCGACGCCTCGAGCAGAACCAGAGAGCACCATTGTCCTCGGTCCAGATCGGCAAATTGCCAAACCCGTCTCCCAAGCCTGCCCAGATCACATCAAAGCCGTGCCAGAGTGTGATCATGTTGTTGCAGATAAACCCAAGAAACTGCCATTGCAACACAACCCAATCAAAGGGCACTTGTCGACTGCTCCAGTCTCGACTCCTGTCGCCCGCAGAGATCGTTCAGCATCAACGCCGAGTAGCTCATCCGGCCCAACTCAACAGCTGCTTGGCACGGCCTCCTCTGCACGCATGAATGAACGTTTTCCGTTTCTCGACACTGGGAAACGCTCGAGTAGCAACAACTCCAGTCGTTCACGCCTGTCCAAGTCGCCGACTAGCAGTGTGGGATCATCGTCAAAGAACCCTGAGGCAGCGCCTGGGCCGGAGAACGTATACTCCGATGTCTTTATTTCTGTCTCCAGCTCGACCACCACCGATGTTCCAGGTACTGCTCCAAGGAGAGCTGAAACCTATCAGAACAGTAAAGAGAACATGACACCAACATCTAATGCGGGCCCGAAAAGACCACACATCTCACCTCTCGGACTTGTCCAGCGGCCGAAGTCACTGCAGCCACTTTCGTTTGCAGCCCTGAACAGAAGTCCAACCAATATAGCGCACCTGTCAAGTAACGCAGCAGATACAAGTCAGCCGAGGTGTGCGCCCAGCCCAGCCGAGACGGTTATTGCCCGTCCTGGCCTGCGTGTCACAATTCGGCCATCGTCACCCGAGAAGCTATCACGTCGAGCTAGGAGCGCGTTTGACCTACGTCAAACCCCTTCCCCGCGTCCAGCGTCAGAACTTCGACGCCCTGCACTGCAGTCTAAAGCTTCCTCGCGCTTACTGGCCGAAAACGAACGGTCAAGAACAGACAAAGAGACATCAGGCGATGGTCTGCACGACGTCAATCAGCGAGAGGGTAGCGTAACACCTGGTCAGCGTATGGCTGAGCGCTTTCTGAAGGAGCGGAAGAGCGCCACCGTACTTGAGCGAGGAACCAGGAAGAGCACAGGCAAACTTGTCAGGGAGGATACGCCTGCATTCCTTTGATGTCCCGACATACTTCAAAGTTTACATATATACAAGACGGAAAGCTGGTCGCCAGTAGCAGGCTGTCAAAGCCTGAATGTTTTACAAGAATTTGATTAGACACGCGACTTTCATGATTAGCTTTTTTACCAAAGAGAATCTCATGGAATGGCCTCCACTTCCAAGATCTTCTGTGCCTACAAATGTTCATCTAAATGGCAACTCACTACCCGATCCCGCTCTAGTGTCGCCCTTAGCGTCAAGCCATGCTTCCAGTATAGCAATCACAAAGCATCTCAGAACGCTTGTAAGAGTACGTATATACTTCAACCTTTCCTTGGAGTGCACGGCTGTTCCGATTCTCGGCCAGCATAGGGGCCATGTACACCGGATCAAGGCACGTAATCTCTGGGTTGGTCCAGTGTGCGTAAAACCAAGCGTGAAGCGAGGCTCAGTGTGCTGCAAGCTCTTCAAACAAGTCGCCGTTGCAAATACCGTCTAGTAAGAGTTGGACCACAAGTATCATCCAGAGAATAATACGTTGGGTTTTGTCCAATATCGAATCTTCGAAAAGGCGACTCTGGATTGAATGTTGTCTGCAAGAGTGCGACCATGTCTGTATGGGAGGAGAGTTCCCCTTCGACGAACAGCCCCATGTCACGAACGGTGAGATCTTGTAAGCGCAGCGGAGGACAGTCTCTGAAAATCTCCAAGCAAGCGTCAATGAGCCGACTGGAGATGATCAGCTTGATGTGATCAGAGGCTAGGGATCGCAGAAACTGTGACATGTCACTGTGATTCCCCTCGAAATCGTCGACGTCATCGATGAATATAGCAAGTTTCAGAGATTTTGCTTTGTCCGTGAGTAGGTTCAAAGCGCGCTTCGACTCGATATGCTCAGGCTCAGTAATAGTCAGCGAGATTTTGTTTCCATGGTAGAGCTTTGGTGACACAACTGGAGTGAGTTCGAGATATTTTTCGAAAAAGGTGTGCAATATGGCTTTTAGCATGCCCACGTGTGATCGTTGTAGAGTGCCAGAATTTCAGAAGAAGTGTAAGACGATAAGCTCATAGGGCCCAACCCAGGCTCGCAGAACTGTGCCAGTGTTTTGGTGCTGGACATGGGACTTCATAAGCATTGATTTGCCACTTCCGGCTTTTCCATTCACGAAGTACAGCTGTTTGCCTGTCTTGCTTCGCAGGTACAACGAGAAGTCATCCCAGCGTGTGATATCTTCGGAAGGCTCGAATACCCACTCGTACATGCCTTTTTAGGCTTTCTCGATGGTATCATACCTACAAGCAATCTCAAGAAAGTCAAGCCATCTGCAGATTTTGCACTTACGTCCTCCCAGTTGTGCCTTCGATGGTTTGGGCTGTCTCAGGTCGCTTCGGATGTGCCCGATCGTCTCCAGGCAGCTTGAGACCTCGCTCTTGGTAGCCTCGTGATTGGTCTTATTTTGAACTTGGACGGAGCTCGAGAGCAGTCGAATGGCCGCTCCGAGCGAAGCGTGGCTCGAGTTTGAGGCCTGTACACTGTTTTGTATCTCCTGCAGGTATTTAAGGAAGTTGGCGCGATTGCCTTTCGAAGTCTGTCAACAAGCGAGGACTGTGGTTAGAGTGATCGAATTCTGCCGTCTTTCCAATGTATCAATGAAAACTTCTTTCCGATCCCTTTTTAGTCTAAGCTGAACAGCCATTTTAGAAGCTCGGAAGATGTTCGTAGGAGGGTTCGGGAGTAACGTTTCCACCTACATGAGGAAATACTTTACCTTATCCTCGCATGCGCCAGCGAGGAGCAAAAGTGCCTGCTTGTGGCACACCACGATCCGAAGCCAATCTTCTTCGTGTAGATCTGCCGATGAGTCTTGTGGGCATGTCTTGACCGTGGTTACCATATTGATGACTTGCTTCGTAGACTACTGGATTGCAGGGATTCAGTCAGGACTGCCAGTGTTTCAGATGTTTCTGGCCTCCCTCAACAGCGTTCCTGCACATAGGGCAAACTGAACAACGTTGCCAGCGAGGCCGACGGCTGCAAGAGCTTCCATAAATTCTGTAAAGACCATGATGACGCAAGCCTAGTAAGAGATAAAAGAGCAGTGATGACTGTCGTGTCGTCAGGCTGAAGACGATGTTCGGAGTGGGCTGTGTGAAGCTAGCACCTAGTCATCTGGTCGATGGTACAGCAAGCCAGTCACGACCGAACGCAGAATAGAAGCTCAGGTGTTGGATATATTGACCACTGCCGCAAGCGGCAGCTGCCTAATGCGGAAAGTTCCACGCAAACCGTCGATTCACCCGCTAAATGGGAACGTTACATTTTGGTCACATCTTACACCTCATTGGCCAGACATCTCGCATCGCGCCTGGAGTGTTACCGTTAATCTTCTGCTCTAACTTCGTGACCACGACATGTCATCGAGACAAGTGGTGCTCAACGCTGCATTCGGACGCGTCTTCATCAGTACCTAGATAGACGCAGATACGTTTTCTCACTGTACTTCGCAGGCGCTGCGGTCATCTCTTACAGCATGCCTGCTAAGACCGTTGCACGTGTCCAAGAATGATATAGAGCGAATGAAGTCGGGGCTGTAGACCAAAACGCGAGTCTGCTGAAGTGTCATTCTTGCATAGCGTCAATTACAAGATAATTAATTATTGGTATGAGCGCGTCCCCGTTCCCAATCTGCTTGATCTGGCAAGTTTCAGCAAACCATTGACTTCAGAGGGTTTACTACCCGTTTTTGCTGCGACCTTGCTGGTTTGGAAACTTACAAGTCGTCTGGTGTATTACCTTTGTGTATCCGTTTCAGGACCTCAAGATCGCTAAGAGGATAGTCTATAAAGGCAGTCAGGTTAGGCGTGTACGCTGATTTACAGTATAAAGGCAGAGTAGAGATTCTGGAGCATAATATGTTGCTGCAGCCTCAGCGTTCGAATTTAGAACGTGCGATAATTAGATGAACATTAAAACGAGGCTGTCGCATAAACACCCCTCCGAGCGATACGAGAAGTGCCTCGCGAGGTCTCCACACGCAAGGCTTTTGAATCTTCGAGAGGCTTGGCTCGAGATAGGAGACTTGTGGCGATGCAAGTAGAAGGCTTAAATTGCAACACTCGAGGCATAATCTGTGGAGATCCTTCTCCGGTCCGAACGCCAGATAAGGGAGGAGACAAGACTTTAATGAGGCAATGCTACCGAAGGATTGAGTCGCTAACAATGCAAGTGGTAAAAGAGGCTTTGAGGTTTCTTGCAGAGTGGTGTCTACTTTCATGTGTCCTTTCCGTGAGACAATAATGCTTTGATGAGGTGATGTACGTCGAACACTCATTACAAGGATACGGGGTTTATGTGGGGAATGGAAGGTCTGGAGCGGATGCCGCGGCTCTGTCTTGTTTCCAGAACCGCGCTTGAAACCACACGTTCCTGGGTTGCCGAGTAGATGACGTCTCTGCAGTCGCAGCAGATAGATCGCTGAACTTGCCACCCTCGCGCGCTCACAACAGCTCCGAGGCGGAGGCGGACGATTGTCGAGATAAGGCAAATATTCTCCACCAGTCGGAGTGCAGAGCCTGTGTTCGTGGATGCGAGTGCGGTAGTTCCTGACGACATTCTGGCCTTTCGATGGCCCGCAGATGTCAGCTTCAGGAGGTAGCTGCAGGCTATATACATTGTGCAGCAGTGGTTGCATCACTGCGACATTCACAAGGTTCAATAGGCCGGCGCGGGAGGAAGGCTTACAGAGGTGCTAAAGATGGCGACATGAGCCGGGTTTCAGCCCATCCCGTTACCGCGCACTTCGCTTAGCATGCTGCGAACGGCCATCAAGGGAGACCAAGCTGTGCACCGAGGCAGCACCGCGTGAAGGTTTTTATCACGACGTTGTGCCTTGCAGCAGTGGCGATAAGCAGTGTCGCGGCGGACGTGGCGGGTGGGTGAAGGCGGAAGGCTTGGAGCTCAACGGCTGCGTCAGGTCAGAGGCGTTCAGGAGCCAGGGATTGATTGACGAGGTGAACGCGTGGCGGGCGCCTTCGCTGCTTCAGCTGCTAGCCAGACTGGCGATAGGCTTCTCGTACACAGCCAAAGCAGCCATGATTAGCTGAGACGTGTCAGCGGGTAGACGCTCCGGCAATGCCCACGCAGCGCAGCGACGCATGGAATGACCAGCAGACCCATGGGCACTCGAGGATCTGTCTACCTATCTGTCTGCCCCTTGCTGCCGGTGACGCGCATGGGGCTGGCCGCAGGCCACACAGCGCAGGGACAACAGGGACAGCAGGCACAGACAGGCACGCTACGATCGGCGGCGGAGCAGCGTTGCATCTAGCGCGCCCGGACGCGTGAAACAACGCCTGCTAGGACCAGAAAGCTGCCCTTGAGAAAAGAGGCGACGATGCATTGCCCAACAAAACCCCGAGGCCCGCCTCCTGTGTCGCTGCATTGATTCCTTAATTTCTCTTTCACTGTCTCCGATTCCTGTGAGTGCGTGCCTGTCGCCAGACTCGAACACCGACCTGCAATTGCCAGAAAAAGCGTGGCCTTTCCCCGATCAATCGAGAAGCGGCGTCTGATAAGGCCAACATTTCGCCAGCCGGCCACGAGAGCGCGCGAAGCCAGCCAGCACCTCCCTTCACCACCGTCGCCACCGCCCTGTCCACGATGCTCACCTTCAAGAAGGCGCTCGTGCTGTCGCTGGCATGCCTGACGCTGTTCTTCATGTTTAAGTCGCACCATACCAGCAACCGCTCGCCGACCTTCAAAAACGCCCACGACTTGCCCAAGCCCAGCCCCTGGGTCAATCCAAAAGAAGCAGCCGCCAAGGCCGAGCAGGCGAAGAAAGCTGCTGAGAAGACAGACAAGGTCTTCAACGCGCCCGACGCGCCCGTCAAGAAGCCCAAGGAGCAGATCAGCCTCGACGAGCTGCACTCGCGCCCGCTCAGGCAGCAGCTCGAGTACCAATTTCCCTACGATGTCGACGCCAAGTTTCCCGCCTACATCTGGCAGACGTGGAAGTACACGCCCGCCCAGGGCGAGTTCATCGAGTCGTTCCGCGAGGCCGAGGCCAGCTGGTCCATCCACCACCCCAACTTCGTCCATGAGGTCATCACCGACAACGTCGCCGTGCACCTAATCCGGCACCTGTACGCTTCTGTGCCCGAGGTCCTCGAGGCCTACAACGCGCTCCCCCTGCCCGTCCTGAAGGCCGACTTCTTCCGCTACCTGATCCTGCTCGCGCGCGGAGGAATCTACTCGGACATCGACACGTCGGCCCTGAAGAGCGCTGCTGATTGGATTCCTGCAGACGTCCCCTCGAACAGCTACGGCATGGTCATTGGCATTGAGGCCGATCCAGACCGCCCGGACTGGGCTGAGTGGTACTCTCGCCGCATCCAGTTCTGCCAGTGGACGATGCAGGCAAAGCCTGGCCACCCCATCCTCGTCGATGTCGTCGCGAACATCACCCACGAGACTCTGAAGCGTAAGGCCGAGGGAAAGCTCACCAAAGACCACAAGGGCATAATCGAATTCACTGGTCCTGCGCGCTGGACTGACGCCATCTTCGGCTTCTTCAATAACCCCGACTACTTCGACATGGAGTCCAGCAAGGGTAACATCACCTGGGAGCACTTCACCGGCATGAAGGCGCCCAAGAAAGTCGGCGATGTCATTGTGCTGCCTATCACCAGCTTCAGCCCGGGCATCAAGACCATGGGCGCTGGCGAGGACGATGACCCAATGGCGTTCGTGAAGCACGCTTTCGAAGGTAAGCATTGACCCACCCTTCATTGTGCATTGGACCTGCATCTGAGACTCGGTACAACGCGGCAGCTGTGCGACTTCGCTGCCGCAAGCCGGGTTTGAAGGCTCTAGCGCCTTGCCTCACAAATGTTCATGACCTGAAGACTGACATTTCCCAGGTACCTGGAAGCCTGAGAGCGAACGCCATATCGGCGAGATCCAACATTGAGCGCGTCGCGACGCTTTGGCGTGTCTCTCGACAAAGTTCAACGCCGCCCCTGCGCGCGGCGCACACTCTCGATGCGGCGTATGCCAACCAGACACCTACTACAAGCAGGACGGAGAAGATCTATTTGAGGTTATAGCGGGCTGTCTCAAGCTTGGGAACAAGAGCTCCCTTCTACAGCTCTCGATTAGATGGGACGAAAGAGTAGACATCAAAAGCCGCGGATCGGCATACAGGGGCCATTCTTACTGCTCGCTCCGAACAACCACTTCAAGCGCTGAAGTTTAAGTTCGAGACGGCTATTCTCTTCGGCGCACACAGGCATCAGCAGGCGCGTCTGGCGTTCAAATGTGCGTTTATCCTGTAAACCATAGATATCTCGAATTACAGCAAGCGAGGCATAGTGTTCGGAATCGATGATACACCTACCTCCATACCATCACTTCATCAAAAGTCTGCATCGATCTACACACCGGCTTGCATACCTTTTACACGATCTGAACAGCAAGTCGACTGCAAATCGAACGAGCATTTTTGCAGCGCTCACAAGGATACCCTGTGCTCACCACCCTGTAACCCAAGCCTCGCCCCCGCAAAGCATCCGCCTTTCTATGTTTGAGCGTGCTAGATCGACATAACGCCGTTCTGCGCCCCGCCAACGAGATGTCGATGCCCCACATTACCGAACCGGCGCTAGTTAGGTACCCTTCGCTCGCTTATGGTGAACTGCTCAGTGACTGATGTCATTGGCACGGGATTCCTCCTTTCTGCGCCCTGCAGCATTGACCGGCGAGGGGCTTCGACAACTCACAGTCACCGCGGTCTCTGTCCGGCGGACTCTGGGGTTGAGCCTCTTGCGATGCGCTGTGATTGGCCTTGATGTGTGGTTCGCCGGTGTGGTAACCAGTCAGCCTGGCAGGGCTACGCAAGCATATCCTTGTGAGAACACTCCTTTGCAAGAACGAATGAGTATATGTAGGAGCGTGGACTCGATATCCTGAAACTCATCTTGAACGTCGGCACTTACCTATTCGGGGACGGTCCACGACATCTCGGTTAAAAAGCGTAATCTGCAAGTCGATTCACAATCGGGAACAGCTGCATACGACATCAGACTCAAAAACAGGATCCAGCTCCTTGGCCAAGACTGAGGATCCGCATACATCACAGCAAATCCTATCCATCAAGCCGCCAAAACGGATTACCTACTTGTATATCGCCTCTCCTACCCCGAAGACTTCAACACAATGTCATCCTACAGCTCAGCCCATTCGGGGCAACTGCATCCAGGCCACCAGCCTCAAGCACAGCAGCAACGCGCCCGCTCGTACTCAAACCCACCATACCCCACAACTCCAGGTTCCGCGCCATACCCGCAACAGCAGTCCAGCTACTTCCCTCCTCCACCAACAGCTCCATATCAACAAGCACCACCAACTTCGCACTCTGTCGCCATCCCACCCTCCAGCCGCAAGACAGCATCATCAGACTACGCTCACGGCTACGGCACATCGCCATCACATTCGCAGGCCTCAAGTTCTTACACATCCTCCTATCTCACACAAAACCTTCAGCCTATCCCGCAGCCACCGCCCATTCCAGAGAATTACCAGTACCCTCCTCAACACCAACAGCCCATAACGTCCAGCTCGCCCATCTATTCGCACAATCGCCGCCGGTCATCTTCCTCGCAAGGCTACGATCCCCGCCAAAGCTACGAGTCAGCGCACTCGTACCAGTCCGCGCAAAGTTACCACGGCCATCCGTCACCAGACTACACGCGCCAGACCCAGAACGGAGACGGAAACCGCGACGATCGCTACAACTACGGCAACGAGGACGAAGGACACGGCCAGGCGCATGCTGCGCCCGAGCCGCCCAAGGGCTATGGCGTTTGGGATAAAGATGAGGTCGCTAAGTATCAGAAGAATCGTGATTTGGAGCGGAGACCGACGCTTGGGGGCAGTTTGATGAGCTTTGTTCAGAGGATTGGGGGGAGTGATCGACGCTGAACTCGGTCTCTGCTAATGAGTTGAGAATTTAGGGCGTTCATGGTGGGTTCAAGAATGTAGCACATTGGCGCGGGACGCCTGGCGTTTGGATTTTGATACCTGTTTCTTGTAATGTTGGTTTAACACCAGACTGTCTGTGTGCGTTCAGTAGCTTGGTGTTGTCAATGGCAGTGGTCGAAGCACTCCGCATCTTTTCGAAACACAGAGACTGCGTTCTGATGCTGTGCGGACTTTGTTGACCTATACTCGAGAGAACCTGGCTAGAGCAGGACGGACTTACTTACTACTGTCTTATGTTACTTGTGTTACTCGTGCCACAGAGGATGCGTGCTGAGCCAGAGATGATTCACAGAATCATTGCGCCACATGCTGTGCTATTGAAGGTCCTACTCGAGCGAAAATTAAGAGGCGTTACAGCTTCGGTGTTGGTAGTATCCGTGATGAGCGCATCGCGCCTGCCCCACCCGTACATATAGCGCACAGCCTTACGCGCTAATGCCTGCCATGTGCGTCGATCACTTTTAGGCAGCAACGGACTGCCTTAGCGGAGGAGCGCCTGACCTGGGAACCGTGGTTTGCATCGAATTAGGAGGTCCTGCCTGGCAGCCCAACCGAAAACACGAGGTTAATCACTACCAAGTGTTGGCTGTTGTGGCTGTTTCCGTCGTCTTTACCCCACTATCGCGGGGCTGAGTCGAATGGTTTTACGCTTCTCGAGCTCCTGAGCTGCTCAGCCCCTCAAAAGGCCTGGTACTTCCACGTAAGCTGACCCGAAGCCATCGTTGACACCACATACCTCCACTGATCTTCAGCTTGTACCTGCTCCCCAAAATCCAACAACGTAATCTCTCTGTAGCGCTTACACCTTTTACCAAGTCCAAGTAGAGCGCCTGCATTGCAAACCTATGGCGTACAATCAACCGCCAGGGGGCTATGGGCAGCCACCCTATCAAGGACGTAAGTCAACACAACACGGGCTGTGTATTCTGCACCTATCTACAGATCGCCCATAACAACTTGGCAACAGACTTGAATCTGTATTAATATTTGACAGAGCCCTATGGCCAACAGCCACAATATCAACAGGGATATCCTCAAGGCTACGGACAGAACGGGCAACCTCCAATGCAAAATCAACAGTATCCACCTCAGGGTCAGTATGGCGCACCTCCGCAACAGCAGCAATGGGGCCAGCCTCCACTATCTGGGCAGTACAGTGCGCCAGCACCTAATCAGTACGGCGGGCCACCTGCCCAAGGACAGTACAGAGCTCCACCTCAGCAGCAGCAGTGGGGCCCGCCGCCTCCTCCGCAGGGTCAGTACGGTGCGCCTCCTCCAGGTCAATATGGAGCGCCACCTCAAGGACAGTATGGCGCACCGCCCCCACAAGGACAGTATGGAGGAGCACAACCTCAAGGCCAGTATGGAGCTCCTGCACCACAAGGACAATATGGTGCGCCGCCTCCAGGCCAGTACCAGCCGCCTCCTCAGCAACAACAATACGGACCTCCAACTCAGCCATCTCTTGGGTACGGGCCTCAGCAAACCGCCAACATCGACGTTTCACGGGATGTTGAGGCTATCCGAAAGGCCATGAAGGGCTTTGGGACCGACGAGAAGGCACTTATCACAATTCTATCGAAGAAAGATCCTATCCAGATCAACACCATTCGCACACAATATGACCAGAGGATGATGCGCAACATGGTCAACGATCTCGAAGAAGAAACCAGAAGCTATTTCAAGGAAGGCCTGGTGGAGATTGCTCGTGGTCCTTTGATTTCTGACTGTTACACCCTTTTCAACGGCATGAAGGGCATGGGCACCAAGGAAGCTATGCTCGACGATGTTTTGATTGGCCGTTCCAATGCCGACATCAACGCAATCAAGCAGGAGTACCAGAAGCTTTTCAAGAAGAGCCTCGAGACCGATCTTCGCGGTGACTTGTCCGGCGGCACAGAACAAATGTACATGATGATCACAGCAGCCCGTCGCGCAGAGGACTCGGCGCCTGTCATTCCCCAGGAAATCGAGCAGGCCGTTACCGATCTCCAGACCGGCATCGGTAACATGGTCAGCAAGAACGCCGCACAAGTCTGCCAGATCCTGACTTCTAAGAACGACGCTCAGCTGCGTGCCATTGCGCAGTCTTACCAGCAGCGCTTCCACAAGGACCTCAACGGCGTGCTCAAGTCCGCGTTCTCGGGGCATATGGAAGACGCGCTCCTGCTTCTGCTAGCTCGCGCGCAAAACCGCGCGCTGGCTGAGGCTGTCAGGCTGGAAGAGAGCATGGCGGGTATAGGCACGAAGGACCAACTGCTTGTTCAGCGCGTCGTCAGGTGCCATTGGGACCGCAACTTTATGAACGCCGTCAGCGCCGAGTACAAGAAGAAGTACGGCAAGGACCTCGTCAAGAGGATTGAGGGCGAGACAAGAGGCGATTACGAGAGGTTAATGGTTGCTTGTGTTAAGCCTTGAGCTGTGCCATGAGTACGAAGACGATATTGAGTGTTTGGGTTGCATTATAGCGTGGTCGATTCCTGCCTGGATGCGTATCGCGGGTTCATGAGCTACATCGGAGGAGGATATCTGAATATACGATCCTATTCTTTCATCTCACAATACCTGGGCATGTAGTAAGCATTGACTTGTGTTTCTCATCGCGAGGCATGCACAAATTCCCACTATGGCGTGCCCCTATCTAGTTGTGCACTGACGTGGGCCGGCTCGTATCCTGCTATCCAAATTCGGCAGTTTTGCAATATGTGTCGGTTCTCCAACACTAAAATGTCGACATCGATACCGCGCATTGGGCGCAATAGCGGGGCACGCCCTTCATGCTACGTGAAAATAGAACATCAGACGGCGTTGCTCAAGACATCGGTGCCCAGATGTTCACGAACACTCCACCAGTAGGCCTGGCCGAGACGGGAAGCTCGGATTACAGTGATATTACCCGTTCACTGGGTTGTAGACCATTCATTACCCCTGGTTTCTGCACGCACAGACGCTGGAGCGAGGCAAGGGGGATGTGGTGGAGGTTCGATTCGAATATCTGCTTCTGGAACAGTGACGGGGACGAGTATTACTAGATTAGGCAGATTTGTGGAAGCGTTGATGGTGGAGCGGACATGGTGCCGACTGGAACGAGGCGAGCGGCTGAGGTCGATTCGAATGTCTACATTTGGAGGAGCGTCGGGGATGGAGTCGCGGGATTGGGTGGCTTTGGGCATGTGGCGATGGTGGTGCGGATGCTGTGCTTGACTTCGAGTGGAATCGAGGAGGCTGTCGTGCGGTGAGAGATTTGGTTGTTCTTCTGCGTAGAAGAAGAATTGGGGGTAATAGTATGAAGCATTCACAGTCAGCGAGGCGTATGAGTTTGAAGTCGAGCATGTTTTCGATGCACGCGTTGCGCGGGTGAGCAATTATGTCAAGGAGGCTTGATAAGTGGAGTGAGCAATCCCTGTACGTGTATTTCTTCCTCGTAGCAAGCGTCCATCTCCTATTTTCCAGAATTGGCAAGATTATTTTACTGTAGATGTCTGATGGGTATGTTGTGCATGAAAGGATGCGCACTAGCACAGGCAAGAAATAACGCCCTGCAGGTTCCAGAGAGAAGCTCGGAAGTCCGATCCCTAGCGAGCGGGTCTCTAATATCTTGCTAGATCAGGAAATAATCGTACAACTGTGGATATCTGGGAGGTGTGTCGTGCAGCAAAGGAAGGGCGCTAGCACGTAGGAGGGATGGTGAGGTGAAGATCCACGGAAGTGAACTTTGAGGTCCGTGGGAATATATACGAGGCCCTTTCTTAAGATTCGTGAGGCTCCCCAGCACCATGTCTGTTCAGGAGTCTACTCAAGTATAGCTTCCAGGCAAAAGCCTTGACCTGGGGACATACGCTGCTCGTGATGCGCCCGCTCACAGCTCAAGTGGCTTGTTGCGTGTATGAACAATGTCTGATGTAGAATTTGTGCGCTAAAATACAGTGAGGAAGCAGAGAGTTCCTCGTCATCTAATCTCTCGAGCGGTTGCTGGACCACTACACAAAGGTAAGTTGATGGACCATAGTAACATCCAAACCTTGTGTTCTTCCTTCTCCAATCTTCCTACTCCAATCTTCCTGCACCAAGCCCGATGTTGCAAAGCCCTTCGACACTAAGTCAGCTGGATCTTGTGTATCTCTACTTCCCTGGTGTTCGCGGTGGAGCCACTCAGCGGCTAGAGTCGACAGACACCCCATCCAAAACATCGTATTCCGGTCGAATTCTCGCATCTAGTCTATGTATCACTCGATTCCGCAAGTTTGAGGAGTGTTTATATGATTGATGTCTGACGTTGTGAAGGGAGGACCCGTCTAAACTACGCGGATTAACGCGTGCGGAATCCGCGGAAATTGTGAGGGAGACTGTTAAGGAGCCATCGTGTTTCTTTCAGACGAAATCCGACGCCCATCTCCGAGCGAGCTACAACGTGTGTGTAGAACTCATCGACTGGCATGGCACAGAAATTTCCTATCTTTTGTTCGCAATCGCCATCATGGCTCGTTATTGTCGTTGTTGTCGTTGTATTATTTAACGTCGCTATGGTGCCGGGGCTTGGCCCGGCCTCCGACCCCCCGTAGGGTACTACGGACCCGTGAAGACAGGGTCTTGCAAGTTTGCGGCTCCGCCCTATAACAAATTCCTAGTTACATTTGTGCGTTTGAGCGCTGTCACGTGAAGCTCCTCCACCATGCGAGGATACGCCACCCATCACGGCTCGTAAGCAGGCGGTCCAAACCTTTCTGCTTCAGATGGTGTGGTGCCTATATCCATAGTCTCATGCATCAGCTGTGCTAGTACCAGCCTTTCTTCGTAAGCACCGTCATCTGGCGGAGGCCCCAGCCAACCACCAGGTCTAATCATCCGCTCAATTGTGACGTCGTAGATCGTAACTTCGTGCTCACTCTTCTTGCCGCCACATTCGAGGAGGATGTCATACTTGACATCTTATTTAAGTGCGACGTTGTAGGTCTTAAAGTTGGTGGTACGAGCTTGGTGATGTCGAAAGCTTCGATGTCCGTAGGCGTGAAGTTGTTGAGTGGTAGCCCCGGTACCTATCGCGTAGCGGCGATTGAAAAGATCAAATTCTGACTCAGCAAAGCGGAGGTTGCTGTGTGCTAGAGAAAGATGAGAGGGCAGTTGGATACGATATTCAATGGGAGCAATGGCTTGTGCGCGGATTCCTCGGAGGCATACGGGTGCAGCTCGATCACTATTGGTGTCGTTCGCAGACTGCAGTGAAACTCTGAGCCTACTCTTTGAGCCCACGCGGTAGTGTTCTGGCACACTCAACATCAACAGGTTTGAGCTGACAGACTCATGCACGCTTTCTGTTGAATCAGATATGCGCCAGCTCAGCCTCTGCAGCGTTCCTCTACCCCGCCTGCTAGGTTTTGATCGTGATCTTCGCTCTATGCGCACCGGTGGCGCAGGTCGCAGTGGTACTTGATTAGGTAGAACCACTTCCGGAATGGAAGGAAGGAAGCGCAATTGATGTACAACTTTGGGGTTCATGATGAAGTGTTTCTCCTCACTCACAATTTGCGCTTCCAGGATATACTCATTGCGCAATGTGCTCTCATCCCACCACAGACTTGGTGAAAGTGAGTGTCCCGAATTACTCATCACCTCGCCATACAATCCCCGCCTGTTCTGTTTGCAGTAACAGTACTGGTCGCGTCATTTGCCGATGTTGCTTCATTGACGAAGACATACAAAGTTGCAGGCACAATACCGTTACTGTCTCCAGTAGCATTCTTTCCTAAGTTTCTTGCGCTTTTGAACAACTTTATTGTCAGTAAGTGGCCGTCACAAGAGAAATTAGCTAGTCTTGTTCGCCATTTGGATTCAATCAAAGTCGATGGTCGTAAGCACAAGTACGACATCACTCTCATACACGCCGAGGACGACTACGACATTCCAACGGTGCATTTGGATGTCCTATTCTGGCATGGAGTCAACGCTACATTGGATGCCGGATCATCAATGACGTTCGAAGATCTGGAAAGAAGAAAGATAGATGACAGGGTTCCACCTGGTGCTGGCGGGTGGGAAATGGACTGGCAAGGCAAAGGCGGTATCATCAGAGAGAAAGTAGTACAGCATGGCCTACACGACAAGATCATGAGTTATCCGGTCGTCAGCCTTGCGGTCGCTCGCGCTGTTCAAAGTTTGGATGAACCCTAGGCAAAGAAATGGGCTTCGTCGAGTCTTTAGGGATATACATGCGTAGACTGTGGTACTGGTTGCCAGTGCATGTTGTCTTTGACTACGAAAGCTCACTTATCCACAGCAAATGATTAGAACTTACTTTGGAATTACACAACGTCCAACGCTGCTGAATCTATTGTGACAGTAGATTCCCCCGCACTCGAACCCATTGGTAACACTGCAGACTTGGCTTCACTTCTTATTAACTCTAACGGTTAGCACGCTTAGCAGTGTTCTTACTTGCCTATTGTCCACAAGGCAAGCGCGAATGAGACAACTGTAATTAGCGGACTCCGACACCCTGAATAGGCTGGCCGATATATGATGTAATTTTGCAGCTCTAGGCATCTCCTCTGATATCGCAAGAGCCTGCTGTCTGTTCACAATAATTAGCGTCATGGTCAAGTTTGTCGCGGCAGACGCAGCCGCTGTATATATCGATGGAAAACTGCGCTGAGTTGCTTGCTAGCTGGGAGACCATATACACATGCCCTGAGACGTGCTAGTCCAAGGTAGTCAACAGAAGTGACGATCAAGGCCTATAGGACCGACTTGCATCGCAACAAAGTTGTACTTCCTACAGATAGCAGAGTAAAGGCGTATCCAACAAGAGGACACAATAAGTTACGCAAGATGAGATTTCTGAAACATGCGGCTGAGGCTTTCATGTGTGTTCTCAATGGTGTCAGTATGAATTGATCAGATTGTATGCTTGAAGTATCGCAAGGCGGGTACCCAGTTGAATACAAGGCTGAGATTGTGCATTTGTATCTAAATAGCGGCTTGCTCCTGCGTTTACCTCCACTTTTGGCTCTGCGTCGATATTCCGCCCAAGAAAATTGAGACCCCAGGTCAGGGTTGATCGCATTGCGGTCCTCAGAGAACAATGCCTAGCACAGAATTAACTGTCAGTCCAAACCCAGCTAATATTGCAAGTTGCAACATCTGGTTGAAATGTAAGGATCAGGCAACGAAGAAAACGACCAGGCAAACGATCACTAGAGCCATAGCACATCAGATCTTGAACCAGTTCCAATGCTCTCTGTAATAGATGCCCCATGGTGTCCCATATTCGCTGGATTCTGGTTTGTCGGAGAAGAGCTGAAAGATACGAGTCGTGCCTGGACTCATTCTTTCAGAAAGATTGAAGAGGTCTATCATTAGGCGAGGTCCAATCAGAGGGCTCAATTCCGGTGACAGCCCGCGGTTGTGAAATGTTCCGCGCTCGCAAGACCGATCGTGAAGCGGTATAGAGAAGCGACTCCCCTCCCGGACTTTGCCGTGACTTTCGAGGTACGGATCAACCTCGTGTGAGAACCTTTCACTTCATTGTTTAGAGTCGCAAATGCGGCTCTGGTTGAATGGAACGAAACTCGCCTTCATGAAATGGATGCTGTGAACGACTTTGAATGAATAGCACGACCGGACAATCCCTTGGTACTGATAACACATGCTTTGCAGTACAAATAATAGGTCGCGATCGTCCGAGACATTGATGAAATTCTATGCAGATTTACTCCATGGAGTCCTTTAGGCACGGAGAATGTGAGATGAATGGATCCATCATCTTCAGTGCGAGTTCCAGCAGCAGTCAAAGTATGGGTAGCGATTTCCTGAGCCGGAACTGCTTTTGCAAACGACTTGTGGGGTAGCGACCAATACAATACGCTTCGTGGAGGTTCAATATGCGTGGGGATATTGAGATGACGCTGAAGACGATACAATGCACCAGATTGGTGCTCATAATAGTCATCGTACAGCATCTCAACTAGCGGCTGCGAACAATCGGCTCTATGTAATCAAATGGCTCAGACATGGAGATGTAATGTTCGGACGACTACGACTTACGTTTTTCCAGTGAAGCCTTTTTTTTGTCCAGCGATTTATGCTGTCCTCTCTCCTCCTCAGTCTGTAGTCGATCAGTTCGCTCACTCGAAATGTGTTCCCTAAGTCTCTTCATAGCCTTGGATCGCCCCTCACCGTAAAGCAGCGGCATCTGGACATCAAAGATACCGAGCGGGCTGTAAGCCTCACCTTCTTTCCTTTCGCTTACTTAAAGCATTCTCCCACACTGACCTGATCTACCGGGCTTCCATGAAGTACTTGAAGACTGATCCCAGTAACCCCCTGAAGGGATTTCCATAACTGGATCTTGTCATCCAGTGGCTCCTCCTCCCAGGTGAAAAAGTCAACGTGTCTTGGTGCGATCAGCTCTTGGAGCGCCCATCCGCGCTTAAACTACCGACTGTGCTTCAAGCTTGTCTCCCAGCATGCAATTCCTTCATTTTTGCCCGAAGCCCGCGAGACGTCCTGCAGATACACGTAGCACCTACTCGACAGATAGTACCACCGGAGCATGGATTTGATAGCTTCTGACAGCTCAGCACTGCGTCTCTCGTCGATGCAGCACGTGTCCACCCTGAAGTAGTTTAAGCCGTCTCGAGTTGCCTGCTGTCAGCAAAACAGGATCTTTCTATAGGCTAGCTTTCCTTCTGCGCTACGCTGTACTACATCCATAAAGGCGACTTCTTCATAGCCCGAGCCCCATATATCAGAGATGATGGGAAATGGTGGGAGGTCTGCGATTAGTTGTTCCCCGAAGGTGAGCGTGTTCTCATCGTTGAGTCGTAATAGCCGCATATTGTGTGATTCATTTCGTTATCAGGCTGTAGTATTCATGGCACAGGAGAAAATCTGGATGCAAGACCTTTGATGGATTTGACTGGTGTGGCGGGGTGTAGGGGCGTCAGTCAGCTACCGCTCAGCCTCAGCTGAAATGCGATACGGCCCAAAGTAGCAAAACGGGACCACCAATGGGCAGACCACAATGTCAAGCCCTGCACATCTAATCACCTACGAAAGCATGGATCACAATAGACAAACCATAATAGGAAGGTGTCCATATGTATAAAACAGCGTGAAATCTAAGCTGAACCATGGGTAACGGATCGCATCACGGTGCTACAGAATCGAGGAGATGCCCACTCTCAGGTCCCGTGAATTTCTTTCTTCCCGTCGTAAGCCAGAAGATCGTACTCAATAACATGATCAGCCCTGTCGCTGCCGAAGTATAGTTCATGTTCTCGCTATCCACTGGTGTAGCACTCGGAAAGTTCGAGATGATGCACATGAACGCCAGAAACAGGAATCCAATGATGTTCAGCGCAATGCCGTATCGGCCGAGCGAGTAGGAACCCTCGAGTCTCGTCTTCTTGCCGGAGAAGTGTGCCAGGATTCGGGCGAGGAGAGGCATGGCGTAAGAGAGATCTAGTAATGTCAGTCTAGTGCAAAGTTGCGGCAAAGGATTGGGTCTTACAAAAACCTTGAGTGGCGATAGCAACAATGGTGTTGAAACCAGTAACAGTACCAAAGTAGATCGAGTTGAATGCGATTTGGACGATACCCGTCAACAGTACAGCATAGACTGGCACACTTCGCGACGAGACTTTGCTGAGCAGGTCCGAGAACGGCAAACCCTGGTCGCGCGCGAAGGCGTACACTGATCTCGAGCCTTCTGCCATAAGCGAGTTCGAAGCTACAAGGCAGATGACCGAAATCATCGAAGAGAGCGCCGAGGCCCCAGCGACACTGCCAGTGGAATTAAATATAATCTCGATGACCGGAACGCCTGTCGCTGTGGTTGCAGTAGCGTCGAGGTCACCGATGCAAAAGCTCAAAGCGATGAGCCAGATGAATCCAGTGATGAAGCCCATGTAGACAGCCATAACTATTGCACGAGGGGTCTGCTTGCGAGCGTTCTTGATCTCTTCCGTCATGTGGGCTGGTGCGTCGTAGCAGCACATGCCGTAAGCGCCTGTCAAGTATTAGCTTATGATAATGATTCAGAGAACGATGACTGACTTTGAAGCAAGCCAATAATAACAGTATATGGCGGCTTCCAGCCAGTGAAATTCTGAAAATCACTGAAGACGAACTCTGGTGACTGCTTGTGGTCGTTGGTGGCGAGTATAGTTGCCAAGCAGACAACAAAGGACAACAGGTTCCAAGCGAGGATGGCTTTCGATAATTTGTTCAAGATGTGCGGAAAGTAGATGTTCGACAACATAGCGATGAAGGTTACCAGATACGCACACAAGACAGTGTGCCAGCGTTCGATAGTGAAGCCGTAGTTGAGCTGCGCGGTGCCGAGGACGAAGTTCGTTGCGATGAAATTGTTGGTGGCACCCATAGCCAGCACACCGATGAGCATGAACCACCCGCAAATGTAACTGAAGCCTCTTGCCCAACTCTTGGGTGCAAGGATTGCTACCCAGCTGTACTGACCACCGGCTAGTGGATATCTTTATGGAAAGTCAGCGTCTTGAGGTTTGGCCATGCTCCTTTAAACTTACGCGCTACACATCTCGGCCATTGAGTATGCGACAGACAGTGTGAAGATGCAGACTGCTAGCCAGCCCCAGATCATGACTGGCGGGCCACCAGTCTCGACGCCGATGATGAGCACACCACTCAGTGCAGTCCAAGAAGTGACAATACTGAATGAGAAGCCAACCATACCAACGAGACCAAAGCTTCGTTTCAGCTCTAGATAATTGTTAGCACCAGTATGCAAGCGATTTTTATCTGCTTGCCCTGTGTGTATCCCAATTGTGCGAGTAAAGCATCATCCTCATCGAAGACTTCCGCCTTCTTCTCGGGATCCAAGGTCGGAGTTGAAGACATTGCGAGCAGCTAATTGGCGACAATGGCGACAATGAGACGGTAGACTCGAGAAAATGAAGTATACATATGTCTAACATCCATCTATCTCACTGCTGTCATCGCAACGGTCATGCATGGCCGAGTCTCCACTGCGTCACTACATGCTGATAACAGCCGTCCTGTCCCTGTCGACATAGTCTCTTGTCCGCATCTGTAGCATTTCTTATCAAATTGGATCTCGAAGCCATGATTGGTCGAGATAGGGAAGTACTAATTGGGTAGTTGATGCAGTGGGGGATCACCCCGGTCGTTGATGAATATTCCCGGCAGATCGGCGGTCGAGTGGCTGCATATTGCCTTACAAGTGTAAGTCCGAGGATGCCCGCTGTCAAAATTTGGGATTGAGCCAAAATAAGTGCTGAGCTGAATATGCCGTTGATATTGAAGGGAAGGGAAGCGGAAAGAAAGAGCGTAGGAGTGGTCCTTTCCGGCTGGCCGTTGTACCCCACCAAGCACCCCGCTGAACCCTTTCTCATGGTTTCATCCGAGAGCGCACGATATGACAAACGCAATTACTGTGCGCTGCATATGGGATCCAGATATATTTGCCTATGCTCGTTTTGGGACTAAGCAAGCATCCTGTGCATACGTACCTGCACGGCCAAGCGGAGGATTTTCTCCCACCATGCGTTCCTAGGACTCTGACATGTCAGCAATGGCTCGATTGCAGAGAGTCTGCTGGGAGCCTGAAGAGGTATGGACTTTCGTTACGATCCTGTTGTCACCACTTATTGTTCCTGAGGCTCCGTCTCCTCACTCCAAGCAAAGCCAGAATCACTACAGAAAGCGCAGTCCCGCAGAGCACCGTGGAAACAACTGAATGACATCCGAGGGACATCTGTAAACACTGAACCAGTATCTAAACCACTCTGAAGCAATGTCCACAGCACCATGCCACCACACACCCAAATCCCCTCACCCCCCCCCCCCCCCCCCCCCCCCCCCCCCCCCCCCCCCCCCCCCCCCCCCCCCCCCTCTCACCTGACACAACCGCGCTGCTACTAATCGACATGCCATGCAGCACAACTTCCTCTCCACAAACGGGTACCTCGCCAGGCTCTCCCCAAGCACCGCATCCCGTTTCACGCCGTTGATACCCACCATCTGGGCTCTCCTTGCGGCCTTCCGCCGCGCCTCATTCCCAGTGATTTACACGCGCAAAGGCCACGTACCGAATCTCTCCACGGTGTCGAGCCGCGAACTACACCGATCCAAGGTCTCAGGTGCGCAGATCGGGGCTCAAGAGCCCATGGGGCGCTTTCTGATCAGGGGAGAATCAGGTCACGACATCGTTCCTGAGCTGGTGCCGTTGTCAGGTGAAGTCGTGATTGATAAGCCAGGACGGGGTACGTTTACGAATACAGAACTTGATGCGGTATTGAGGGCGAAAGAAATCCGGAACCTGATGGTCTGCAGCGTCACGGCCGATGCGTGTGTAACCAGTACGGTGAGAGAGGCTAGTGATCGTGGGTACGATGTGCTGGTCGTCGAAAACGGGGTGGAGAGCATGGAGCATGAACGAGGAACTGAAGAGGTGGAGCCTGGAATCAATTAGGATAGAGGGAGGGTTATTTGGGGTGACTGCAGACAGCAAGGCCGTGTTGGAAGCAGTCGAAACCTGGGTCGGTCATGAAACAAACCGGGAATAACATTAGGCTTAGGGTGGCAACGTGCGGAAGGCGACACTGCTGCAAGACAGTATAAGTACCACAGTTGACATCATGAGAAGACATTGCACGTGTGATGTGTTGCATTGACTATGGCAACCAGCAAGAAATTCAAGTCTCATCATCGAAGCATCCAGACCCATACACAAAAAACGCCGAAGACCGATTGTCGTGACAAAATCATATCGATGAACAAAGTGCGTGACCGTGTGAATCGCCGACAACCTTAGCGAAGTCGAAGGCGCAGCACGCGTCGTGCGGGAAGAGAAGACGCTTAACCACCGAAACCGTAGAGGGTACGGCCCTGGCGCTTGAGTGCGTAGACGACGTCGAGGGAGGTGACGGTCTTGCGCTTGGCGTGCTCGGTGTAGGTGACGGCATCGCGGATGACGCTCTCAAGGAAAGTCTTCAGGACACCACGAGTCTCTTCGTAGATCACTGCAGGGGCCTTAGTATTGCTTTACTGCGACGGCGAGGTGAAGGCAACTTACTGGCAGAAATACGCTTCACACCACCACGACGCGCGAGACGGCGGATAGCGGGCTTGGTGATACCCTGGATGTTGTCACGCAAGATCTTGCGGTGACGCTTGGCTCCTCCCTTGCCGAGGCCCTTGCCGCCCTTTCCGCCTAGACAATGTTAGCATAGTGTTTGGGAAAGAGGATAGTATGGTGGTGCTGTCGACAGGCAGTGCAGTGCAGGGCTGTTGTTGTGATGCGCATTGCCGAAGTGGGGTGGACGCGTTGAGGCTTAGTAACACCAAGCGCGACGCCGTGATGCAGCGTCGGCGACAGCGACAACAACAACAACAGCGATGCACGACGCCACGACGACAGAAGAAGGAGGTAGAGGGCGTACTTACGTCCAGTCATGTTGCTAGAAGGTTAGTTGGATGGAGATTGGATGAAAAGTAGTTGTAGACGCTGGTGCGCGTGGTTGACAGTGGCTGCTAGAAATGGGTGGGCGTGGAGAGAATCAAAAGAGGGTTTTAAGAAGTGGGCGTTGGCTATTTATGTGAGGGCGGCTGCCTACAAGATCATGCGCTAGTGGAGGAAGGAGCGCTGCTTGGAAAATCAATTTCAAGTTGCTGCTTTCCAGCATCGTTAAGCACAAGGCGCGCTGACACCGCTGGGTGCGACAGTGGCCGGCAAGATCACATTTGAGCGCACAGGCCAGTTTCGAACTTCGAAACTCGGACGGTCCATCGCCCCAACACCTATTCTTGTCCGGGCCAACAACAACGTACTGTCGCACCGAAGACCTCTAATAATCTCGCGAGAGACGATGTGTATGGGATCAGTAACGTCGGATACATGTGGATATTCTCAGAGGTATTGTCACATTTGCGATTGCGGTCTCGACGCGTACTGCGACCCCAGACGCGTCGCCGCTTTGAACCGTAACTCAGTAGCAGCAATATGGACGGCCACGCAGTGCACAGATGGACATCAAACAAATCCATTAGCTCACTGCGCAATCAAGTTCTGTTTCTCTGTGGTGTGGTCTTTGTAAGGCTTTTCTTGAGGCTGGGACTGCACCGTGGGTTATTGTGTCCACTTCTTGTGGCAAATGTACACACCCTCTCATGGTGCGGAGAAAGCTGGACGCGACAGAAAGTCTATAGTATAGTGTTCATGAGCTCTATTAACTCACAGGTCTCGTACAGATTATCGCTGAAGACTTCCCACTGCAAGATTTCAAAGCATGTATCCGGTCTACTGCACGACATGAGAGGAGCCCTATCTTTCCGCATGTCACTGCAAGAGGCAAGGCCCATTCATGTGACTTACAATTCAAGACCACGTGTGTGACAGAGAAAGAATGCAGATAACATTTGAGATTCATGGAAAGCATAACTGTGAACAATTCCTACGACTATAAAACAAAAGTATCCTCGATTTTGGCCTTGTCCGAACGCTGTCCCAAGGCATCAGCATCTACATTGCCATATTGATATACAGATTGATGCCTATTTCGCGTCCTCAACTAATTCCTTCCCAGGGACGTCCTGGTAGACAGGTGGCGCCTCATACGCGGGAAGCTCGGCGAACTCTTGCTTCTCGCTGGCTTCCTCAACAATACCTTCCTCGACGTCCTCCTCAAGGGCAATCGGCTGATAGCGCTGGCCGCGGAATCTGGCAACTACGATAGCGATGAGGCAGCCGAGAGCCATACCAAGCAGGTACGTGAGTGTACCAGCGAAGATACCGATGAGGATGGGAACGAGGACAGTGAAGAATGCGCGGCGAAGGAACATATGCATCTGGTGGTGGTGACCGTGGTGACCGTGGTGACCGTTGTGCTCCATGTGGTGAGGAGGCCGGGGATGTCCGCCAGGGCGGAACCTGTGCGGCGGCTTGCCCTTGAAAGTCTCCTCTCCCATAGAGTTGTGTTGACCATGAGGGCGCTGCATGCCGTGAGGTCGCTTGTGGCAGCCTGGCCGTCCCTTGCCCATGTGTTTCAGGCTCTCGATACGGTCGGCCATGATGCCCTTCCACTTGCAGAGCAGCGGCCATTGCTTGCACTCCTTCTCTTGCTCAACCGGCTTGGCGTCGAGACTCTGCTTCGCGTCGAACGAGGCGATCATGAGACGGCCGGAGGGATCCTTGAGAAGATTGACGGTAATTGCTGGTGGGTGCATGGGTGTCGATTCGACGGAGGTGATCTGGAAGGTCATGGGAAGGAGCTCAACTCCCGCCTCAGACACAGTCTCGGCCGTGTTGAAGTGGAAAGTGTAGCCAGTGACGCGGAGGCGCAGGCCTTCCTCGGCGTTAGGGTTGATCTGAGTGACATAGAAAGGCTGCGAGGCAATCGCAAAGGTTGGTGGATAGAGTTGAACGCCATCGACTTCGAGAGAATCCTCGCGGGGACCAACTTCGAAGTCAAGAAGCTATGGTTTGTTAGTAACATATACTTGGCGTTGACTATTCCCTCTCTGTGACGCGGTCCAGATGTGCGGCGCATCACATAGCCGGCGGCATGCGGCCGGTCAGCCGCTGTGGGGATGGCAACTTACAAATGCGTTGCCTGCGTCCTTCTCCCAGTTCAAAGTCTCGCCGTCGACAGTCGCAAAGGCGCATCCAAGGCACTCAACAGCGACTGTTCGCTTGAAGGGGCTGATCGCGAGCGTCTCCAGAGCGTTGTCGTCCCCGAGCTCAGCTGCCCCCATCGAAGGCGGGATGAGCACGGCGTTGGCGGCCAGCGCCAGGCTTGCGAAAAGACCCAGCTTGCTAGGTGACATCGTGAATGGTGGTTACAGTAAGGAAAGAAGAGGTAGATCGAAATGTTTAAGGGGTTGAAGGTTTGCTTATGAGGCGCGGAGCAATGGAAGGCTATGCTGAGACCCTGCCCAGATGGTTCGTCGATGCCGCGTCATCCTGCCGTAACGTGCGGACCACAATGCGTGGCTGTCGCGTCAATGTTTCATAGCGCCGACCCGGAAGCATTCAGTCTGAGAGACGACGCTTGACCAGGCTCTACGCAAAGTCACGGTCTCAAATCTACCACAGCTATCGTTGCTCCTGCACTCTATCTTGCACACGCCGTCGTCTTTGCTTATCAGCCGAGGCCGCCTCAAGCGGGCGATTTGCCTGACGCACTCAACGCAACACTTCAACCAGGAGCGTGTGCGCGTTTGAGGACATGCAAAGTACAACACGCCCCTCCCAGTGATCTACTGACAGAATGCGTCTGAAAGTAGCAACGATACAGGGTGCATCAACTGTGTGAGCGCAGAGGCAGTTCACGGCCTCACCCATTTTGGCTGACGCACAAACCCTGAAACGTCAAGACCGACGACGTTGAACATGCGAACCTCACAGCTCAATTTGAGAACCCCGATACGCAATCTTCCGGGAAGGCATTGACTGGCTAGAATCGTAGAGAGCAGTATGGAGTAACCATATTGGCCGTATGAACGATGATCGTGCCGAAGCCAGGCCGTGAGGCAGCTACGAAGCTCCGTTCCAAACCTCTCGAGTGCGATCGGTCAAACAATAATTTATAAGTATAATAAGTCAGTTAGGAGCTTGGTTTGAACGCCACGAACTACAATGATAACGCAGGGATATTCTCTAAAGATCAAACTTGGAGATGTTGATCAACGCCCACGACTCGACAGCCGGAACGTTTCGAGGACAAGAGACACCTCCCCTTATCAAGGATCACCTGGGTTCCCAGAGATCAATGTGCCGCATCTGCAAGCAGATCGATGCATGTTACATTGACAAAAATTCTTCAGCAGAGCTCAACGAAGCAACTGACAGCATGCGTTAGTGGTAATAACCAGCTACTGCGTGCTATGTCTGCTTCGAAGACGTTCGCAAGACCACATCATTCATTCAAAGCCGTTCGCATGACATGCAGCAATCACATGCATCTAGTCCCGCCGAATGTCGCTAATTGCACCGAATAGGCTGCGGCACTTCTGACAGCGCCGTCACAGCGGTAGTGGCAGGCTGCAGAACGTGGAGAGAAGTCGCAGAGTCGTCCGCGCAAGAGCCGTGACAAGGATGCAGACGATCCACGAATGTTCAGCGGTGGCTGGGACGCGGCTGCAACATGCTCTTGGGCGTGCAGGTGCTCGAGTGCTGCTGCGGCGGCTGCAATTGGGTGGCTTGGGCTCATGTGGACGGTACGTCATCGTTGGAGTTGGGCATGATCCCGCTCATGCAACGACCAAGTCCAAGGCCTGCTCGACCACCCCACTCGCTGCAGCACCCAGTGGGCGGCCTTGGTTCATAACGTCAGGCGTTCTCAGCCTGATTGCGCTCTTCTTATCCTGATTATTCCTCTTCTCCTGTCTCCTGCATCCTGCCTGAGCCCATCTCTCACCCCTCCGCCCGTGTTGTTGCGGCAGATCAGCACCATCCCACCACGCTCGCTGAGCCGCCCCGCACACGCAGCCTCCCCGCGCCATGTCGCGCCGCTACCCGACCGCCGAGCTGTACGAGGAGCGCGAGCGCGACTTCTACCGCAACGGCAACCGCAGCGACCGCAACTATGAGGAGCTTGACATTGAGCTGCGCCGGGGCAGCGACCCGCGCCGCAGTGGGCCCGACTTCTTCCGCGACGACCGCCCGCCGACTGCTGGGCCCATGGTCCTGCGCGGGCGAGAGCGCGACGAGGACACCTTCTCCAGAGCGCCGCCACCGCCCCGCAGCCGCCGTGGTGGCTTCGACGACGACGATGCCATTTCCATGCGCAGCCGTCACCCGCCCCCGCCTTCTAGCGTGCGGGAGCGCGAGATAGACGACATATCCCTTCGACGCAGCGACACGGGCGGTCGTGGACGCCGCGAAGTCGAGCGCGAGAAGGAGGAGGTCGACGTGACCATCCGACGTCGCGAGCACTCTAGAGGACCTCCCCCACGCGAGGCCCACTTTGACCGCGACATCCCCTTCCGCCGCGGTGACGGCGCCCGCCCACGCGAGGTCAGCATCGAGAGGGACGACGTCCGCTTCCGGGGCCGCGGCGACAACATCGATATCCGCGCCTCGCACCAGGAGTTCAGCCGTGATGGCCGCGACATTTCTGCCGAGCGTGGCTCCATCCGCTTCCAGGAGCGAGACGGTAAGTTCGACCTGCGTGCCTCTCGCCGTGAGTTCAGCCGCAACGGCAGGGACCGAAGCGTAGAGCGGGACTCTCTGGTCATACGAGGCCGCGAGCGGTCTCTGCCCGCGCCCAGCTCCCGCGGAGAACTTATTGCGCGCGAGCACGAGGAGCTCGTCGTTCGTCGGCCTCGCGAGCAGTCACGCGGGCCCCGCGAGCGCGAAGTCATCAAGGACGAAATAGTCATTCGCCGCATGGAAGAGCGCTCGCCGTCCCCTGAGCCCCCGCCACCGCCACCACCGCCACCACCAGCGCCTGAGCCAGAGATTAGACCTCCAATCATCCAGGAGATCATCACACATCACCGACATATTGATCATGGTAAGTCGAGATCATTTAATCTGTATCGTACCTCATGTTGACGGCAACACAGGTGTCGAGAGAGCCCGCTCGCCAACACCTCCCCCACCTCCACCAGCGCCCCCGTCTCCTCCGCGCAACGAGCGTATCGAGATTGAGATCAACCGGAGAGAGTAAGCGTACCACAATCTCACCATTAGCGACCGCCACTAACCAGCCTCAGAACCAGGAAAGGCGGACGTTCGGATTTCGAGGAGCTTGAGATTGAGATTGATCGCAGCCGCAGCCGCAATCATGACTTTGAGGTGAGAGCCCGGTCGCCATCTTTCAGCCCCCTTCCCCACCCTTCCTCCCCAAGGCGTCGTCATACTGCCCCTGCCCCTACCGATGCCGAATTTGAGATTGAAGCCGATTACTACAATCGCAAAGCGTTGGGGCGAGCCTACCCAGGCTCGGCTCGGAACGGTGCAACCACAGATTGAACCATCATCGACGTTCCACCAGGCACCAAGCGAGTTCAAATGGACGGGATCAGTGGCGGCTCCCAGGAGGTCACATGGCAGCGATATAATGGCGTCCGCCGTTCAAAGTTCATCGGCGCTGATGATGAACGTATCACTGACGTTCATACTTAGGGCCCCGTAAAACCCAAGAAGAAGGACATGTGGACAGAAGTCACCAAAGATTTGGTTCTCCGCGAAGCCATCGATGGCATGGGCTACAGGTGTGAAGAGACAGACGACTTCTACTACATCATGGAGTATCTGCGCTACGTACGTGCAACTCTTGGAACTTCCAGCCTCTCAACGCACTAACCAGCAAACAGGAGGACGTTCTTCAGCTCGTCGAGATCTCTGATGACATCCGTCGTAAGCGCAAGTCTCGCATCAGGGAGATCGAATTTGAGCGCGAAGAGATCCGTCGACCAAGTTCGGCGTACGATGATCGCTACTACGAGCACGAGGTCTCATTTGACAGCCGTCGCAGTCGATACCGTTAAACGTTGCCGTGGCTCCAAAAAATTTGAGCTCTGCGACTATACCACTTTGTGAAATTGAGACTCGAAATCCAGTACAACGGGTCTCGGATCAATACTGCATCTAGAACAGTTGGTTACTGTGTCTCGGCGAGCAGATCACGCAGATCGGGTTGAACTTTGTTCCTCTCACTGTCCGTTTAGCGCGGCTGTCTGCAAAAGTTTCAGCATGATACCGAACGATGAGTTCGACGATCAGACATGATGGGTCAATGATGTGGACAAGGGCACGGTTCGGTTTGCACGCCCTAATGATTATGACGACTATGACTAGCATACCCGGAGCGAGCGAGGACTGGCTTACATACTTTGGATTCTTCTTTTCAGCATCCACTCCGATGATTGCTTTGAGCTTTGAGGGGGTTGAGTTTGTTTGTTGGTTTGATAGAACTGTGGCGCGCAAGGACGTACATAATTCTCGTTTTCTCGAATTCAACGTTTCTTCAGATTGCGCATTTGACCAAGCGAGCGACTTGAGTAGTTCTTGGTTGTCGGAAGGTCTGACAGCCGGTATTTGTGAGAGGTTGCGCCTTCGACGGTTCTCCACTTCCGGCTAACGCAAGCGAACTACATGCAAGGAAACAATTCCCGCCGACCTCTTTCCTACAACATGACCCCCTGCATCGCCGCTGCATCTGCAAACTCTCACGCTATCCAGCATCGCGGTCATGACCACGTTCCTAGCAGCCGTTGGAATGCAGGTATTAATAGACGTTACTCGTCAATGAAGTTGGGCGCTTAGCGATGCATTCAATCCAAACCAGGGGTTTCACGTTGCGCGACCGCGCGCCAACCACGAGCGAGACAATGGAGAACGGCGCGATGCGCCACATTTGGAGCGAGGGCTGGAAGTCCGGTTTCACGTGGAGAGAAGGGATGCAGGTACCTCTTCGATCTTGCTCTCATTGGCGGTCCTCCTGTTGGCGGTGCTTCCGTTGGCAGTGCTCTCGTTGGTTACTGGCTCCCTTTGGTCGGCGAAACCGAACAAGCATCCTGGGCATGTATGGCCGGATGAGTACGCAGGGACGGCTGCGTTTAAGGTATGACGAGTTGCAGGCGTGCCCTGGAGGGGCTGGTTCTCGTCTTCCTCTCTTTACATCGATCAGCTCCTTCAGCTGAGCGTATTTTGTCTGCAAGATGTTCACTTTCACGTCTGCGTTTGTCACTGTCGCTCTTTCGATCTCCTCCTTTCTCAAATTTGCACAAGCGCAAAACTACACCACGTTTGTTCCTGCTGCCTCGACGTTCTACGCATCGGAGACGGCGACACAGTTCTCGATTAACATTGCGAACGACTCGAGTGATGTGTACTTCTACTTCGCCAGTCCGGCGTACTCATGGGTCGGTGTGGGATTCGGACAGCAGATGGAGGATAGCCTTATGTTGATTATATATCCGGATGCAGACGGCAATAGTATGTTATGAGCTTGATACAGCAGCCTGGACTGCCTAAGAGCTAACGTCAACAGATGTCACGATCTCTCCACGTATCGGTAGAAAAGGCGGCGAGCCAATCTTTACTGACAAAATCGACCTCGAAGTCCTCGACGGCACAAGGATCGAGGACGGCTTGATGATCCTCCACGCTCGCTGCTCGGACTGCCGTGTCTGGCCCAACGGCTTCCTGGATGCTACTTCGCCTCATCAGCCTATGATATACGCCTTTGGTGGTCCCTACGCGCTGCAGTCGTCGTCTGATTCTGCCGATCTCAAGCGTCACGTGCGGTATGGCCACTTCACCATAGACATGAGGGCTGCGACAGGCACGGGAGGCGTGCCGTTGAAGAGTAACGCGAGCACCGGCGTGCAGGATCTGGGGGTTATGACCAAAGATAAAGATCGAAGGACTCTTGCTCACGCCATCTTGGGGTGTGTGGTCTTGTTTGTGGTGTGGCCACTGAATGTGCTCATCGCCGGCTTCTTGAAGAACATCCGCATCCACGCCGGCTTTTCGGTCGCTGTCATCCTGATATTAAGTATCACGTACGGCTTGGGAATCAGCACATCGAACCAGTTTAACCGCGTAGGTTCTTCTACACGACACAAAAACCATGTTGCTAACGACAAGCGCAGTCCAAGGTCTTCAACACGCCTCACCAGATCCTCGCAATCATCTCTATCGCTCCTCTATCGCTCCTCTCAGCCCTTCCAGCACGCCCGTTAGTCCGGTTGCACCGCATAATTCCGCGTCTCCATGTGCCCCTTTCAAACCTGGCGCTCACCCTGCTCCTCGTCTCCGGCGGTCTCGGCCTCCAGCTGTCCCAGCAATCCCGGCTCATCATCCTGACCTACACTGCGCTCTCCCTTACGCTCGTCATCTTCCTCGCCATCATCGGCTCTGTCGTGCGTCGACGTGGACCCGCGTATGCTAGAGCTACTCAACGACTACCTCTCACTTCGGTGTCGTCGAGTGAGCTGGGGCTGTTGGGGAAGGAGAGTAGAGCGGGGAGTGAGGCGGGAAGTGCGACGAGTCTGAAGGGGTTCCTGGATGAGAGTCGAAGAGGAGGGAGTATGGCGGACGGGCAGCAGAGGAAGATATTCGGCGGTGGGACTATGCCAGGCCCGCAGTATTTGTTGAATATGCATCCAGGGGTACCGGTGCATATTGGAAGTGGACGCAGGATCTAAATTCTGACTGCCTACCTAGTTTTGAGCGTTGTGTTGAAAACGAATTTTAGCCCATGCAGCTTGTTCTCCAGTAGAGCTCCCTGGACTTGAAGACTTTGCTCATTAATCGCTCACTTGAGTGCATGGGAGGCTCCTTTTCTTGGCTGTGTCACACCTTCCGAGTTGGTGATATCACGTGAGACTGCCTGCAGATAGCTGAAGCTACCCCTCGCTCAGCCGCAGCTCACACATAAATGTTCATGATGGACAACATCGATACTCACAGACCTGAACTCAATCAAGTCTGAGATGTCAGAACCTCAAGGCCTGGATTCGTTCTACACGCATGACCCGCTTAATCACAACGACTACATAAGGCTCATCCGGGTGCCACCGAAAGAGACTACAAGAGATGCTGCCACACAGATCGCGGTCGATATCCAGACTGTGCCGTTTCAACATGCTCCCCCATATACCGCGTTATCCTACGTCTGGGGCCCGCCTGAAATATACAAGACCATATCCATATTGGGACGGCAGTTCAGCGTTCGGGTGAACCTCTGGGACTTTCTCGACTGCGTACAGCAAAGTGAGAGTCTGAATTACATATGGGTGGACGCTTTGTGCATCGACCAATCTTGTACTACTGAGCGCAACCACCAAGTCGCTCTTATGGGTCAGATCTACTCGCGAGCCAGTGTAATTGTTGCCTGGCTAGGCGCAGGCCCTTCCGAGCTTGTTCAAGCTTTTGGAGAACTAGCGCTGATGAGGCCTGCGGAGACTGTCGAACAATTCGACTGCAACAGGGCGTTGATAAGGCGTTTCGGACCGACTTTTCGAGAATGCAACTATTGGCGTCGAGCCTGGGTTGTGCAAGAGTACGTCCTTGCGCAGCACGTGGAGTTCTGGTGTGGCCAAGAGAGAATGGAGGTCGGAACCCAAGAGCTTTGTGCGAGGATGCTCTGGAACACGGTGTTCGACAGTGACACAGGAATTCACGATTTGGTTCGACTACGCCAAGCACGACAGTGTGAACAAGATGCACCGAAAGACATGTACGAGCTACTGTCTAGTCTCTCCATGCATCTCCGGAAATGTGCAGACGTGAGAGACCGTATCTACGCCGTGCTTTCGCTGGTCGATCCGGAAGCTCTCGAGAAGTTCCCTATCGCGGTGGACTACAATCTGGCCCCCACTGGTCTACACGACAAACTTCTACATAGACACGAAGAGCAGCTCAAAAATGATCCCGAAGGCTTGGTAGATTCAACAGAGTTTTCGGCTTTGATCCTGAGCGTGCTCGATTTGCCACAGAGGCACGAGGTAATTAAACCACCGGCCAGAAGGCTCTTGCTCCGAGCAAAACCAGACGACATCATCACATATGCTGCGAGACGACATCTTCAGTCGATGAATCTTCATTACTCTTGTCATTGTTAAGCTTCGAATGGCATTTTCTTGGCGTAATACTCTACGATACTGAGTATTGGCATCAAGCTTGAATCGACCAAAGTTCTGTTCTTGCCAAGCCTTTCGAGATTGGATATGGTCCGGAGAAAATGCAGAACTAGTTGTTTGCTTACGTTCCTGAATTGTATAGTGGCGGTCACTGGCGACAACAGTTCGCAAACAAGTCGATGCAGGCTCAGTATCTTCGGTCAGATCCAGATGTCTCACAGAAAGTTGGAGAGATGAAAGACGTGCATCGTGCAAAACGGTGTAGAGGGCGCTGATCAACTGACCTACTGGCCCATACATTCAGTAATTCGCCAATCCAGACTTATATTTCACGTTCTACCGAATAACGCTTAAGGGGAACACACGATAGTTTTCGTTCGATGAACTCGTACGTCGCTTTGGCCAGTGGGCCTTAGACCACAGTACCACTCCACCTCACATTATCGATGGCAACCCCAGCATCCACCTTGGCAGTCCCTGCATCGCCCGTACACCCGAAAGCGATCGTGACAGTGCCTCCAGGGGCTCCAGTTGTAAAAGACTCCTGCACAGAGCCCGATCCACCAGCAGACGCACGCCTAGTCCAACCCTGCACCGTCATACCACTGAACACGTTTGTCTGTAGCGTGCATTGAATCGATGGTGGTCCACGTCCTGTCGAGCTGACGAGGTAGTTCCAGTCAAAGCTCAAGGACTGAGGGGCAGTAAAGGGTAGACCAGAGACAGGTGTGGCGAGAGAGCTGCCAGTGTTATTGCTATTGGACCAGCTGAGGATACTGCCGAGCTGTTAATATAACTCGATGTTGCGTATGACGTGGATACTAACGCGAAGTGTGTACCTTCGGCTGCGGTGAAGCTCCACTCGTTGCTGTCATCGTTGGAGACGATGCTTGCTGGCCCAGTGAGCGTCCAGCCCGCGGTACCAGCTTCGAAAGAGCCGTTTTCAACGACGTCGGTGGATGACTGCCTGCGTAGTGCGTTTGAGGCAGCGAAAGCAGTGGCAGAGCCGAAAAAGGCGAGGGCGGACGAGGGCTTCATTGTGTATCTGGCGATGGCTCGTGAGATTTATGAGTAGTGATTGCGGGATGTCTGCTTGTAGGGATCCCAGCAGCTTTATACAAAATGCGTACTCTATAGCTTGAAGTTCTTGTGCACTGCCTCCAGAAATAGCCTGTCTGAGTAGAGTAGGTTAGGTTCTAGGTACAGCCGTCCCGCTTTTGCATCTTTTGAGGTACCTGATCGTCAAACGGATTACTGCTTCGAGCACAAAATGCGGAGAAGGCAGTGGTATTGTGCATGCCAGCCAAGGGTTCTCCCCAGATAGCGTGGTTGTCCCTGCCTTCCGGTCAGCTCCAGTTTTTTAGCGCTACCGGTGACTGCGGGACGGTGTTCGGCGCACATGGCTGTGTTGAGCTCTTTTGGATCATGATTTCAGCGGTTGACAATAAAGTGAGCGACGGGAGACGGCACGGCACTTTAGGGCTGGAGAGGGTGGCCTTAAACTTAGCTACGTGGGCAGCCTGGATGTAAATCCTTACCATGTCTCCGACTTCCATTGCTCTACAAGAAGACTGAAGTCGAATATCATTTGACTTGACGCCAAATACTCTGTTTCTTCATGTTGCCGGCAAAACCTCTGTAATTACAAAAGTTTACGAGACTCTACCGTTCGTTGTCCAATGGCATCAACTAAGAAACACCTAGCGATCAAAGGGAATGGAAGAATACTGGCACCTCTACGGACGCGTGCCCATTTGCTGCCCAGTGTCTGCTGCTGTGGCTTGATTGGTGGAACAACCTCGCGCTAGCTCCTTACGAGCCCCTCGGAGTAAACCCAAACTTTAGCGTACGCCAGAGCATAACATAACTTTGACAGTCTTCAACGTTTCGATTGTACAGTCTCCTCAATCTTCAAAATGGCGCCCACTTTTCAAAATCCTATCATCCGAGGGTTCAACCCCGATCCTACAGTTTGTGTCGTCCCGTCATCCACTCCAGGAGGCAAGTCAACCTACTACCTTAGCACGTCGACCTTCGAATACTTCCCTGGTTGCGCTATCTATCGTTCCACTGATGTCATAAACTGGAAATTGATCGGTCATGCGCTGACTCGGCCCTCGCAACTCAACCTTCGTACTGTGGAGCCAGGGGCAGGAAGTTGGGCATCGACTTTGCGCTACAGACAAGACGAGAAGCGATGGTACCTCTTTAATGGCCTCTTTCACCGCTATCGACCTAGTAGCGATGAACGTATCTTTCCAAGGGGCTTCTATGTCTGGACGGACGACATCGACACAGATGGGAGTTGGAGTGACCCTGTGTACTTCGATAACCCTGGCTTCGACCAAGATGTCTTCTGGGATGATGATGGGAAGACGTATCTGTCGACCACAGTAAGAGTCGCAGATCGAGATCCGGCAAGCAAGTTAAAAGACTTCGCCATTCACATTTCAGAGATCGATTTGCCAACGGGACGGACATTGACACCGCCTGCGTGCATCCGGCAAAGTAAGTACGGCGTCGCTGAGGGAAGCCACATTATGAAGAAAGATGGTATCTACTATTTGTTTGTTGCCGAAGGAGGTACAGAATCAGGACACCAGGAATGGGTGTTCAGGAGCGAGAAAGGGGTATTCGGTCCATGGGAAAGTCAAGGAAAGCCTTTGTGGTACAACGGATCAGACGAAGAAATTCAGAGAACGGGCCATGCAGATGTCTTCGAAGACGAACGGGGTCGATGGTGGGGTGTCTTCCTGGGGGTGAGACCCGTGGAGCAGGACAAGCAGTATCTCGAACCTCAGCTTGGTGAGTTCCACTAGGATTACTGGCTGACTTTTTGCTAATACATAGCAGGGCGAGAGACTTTCTTGGTCAAAGTTGAGTGGGTGCATGGCTGGCCAGTGTTCAACGACGGAAAGAACATCAAAATCGAGACGGAAGGTCGCGATGAAGTTAGCCAGCTCGTTATTCAGTCTAATCCCGATGGAATCCGGTGGCAGGCTACTCTTGATCACGAAAGTGACGATCTTGAGCTCGGATGGTACCAGAAGAACACCCCTCTCAAGGCCTTCCACTCATTCACCGAGCGTCCAGGCTACTTGCGTATCCATGGCGGATGTTACGGCCTCTCGTCTCCAGAAGCGCCTGCGCTTCTATTGCGAAAGCAGGAGAGCTTCCACGACAAGTTCTCGGTGACGTTGGAGTTCAACCCTAGTCGTAAAGGGTACGAAGCTGGCATCACCATGTGGTGGAGCATGTACTCTTTCGCCTCGATCGGTATAATGTCTGTGGTCCACAATGGCAAATTAGTCCCCACCGTAATTTGCAGGAAGCCCACCGGTACAGTTGGAAAGCTGACAACGACGTATCCCACTATCGCAAGCCAGCCTGAAACACAAGCGTTCGACGCGTCTGCGCCTGCACAGTTGTCAGCTCAAGCGACACCCACTACCTATATCCTGGAACTGTCACAAGGAGAGTCCAAGTGGGCTTTCTCGTTCAAGACCAAGGACCTCTGCATCATACCCCCTGTAGGCGGTGCTTTCACAGGGGCAATGTTTGGGATATACTCGGTCGGGTCTTGGGAGCCAGTGCTCGATCCGGCAGACTTCAAGGACATCGCCATTCGGCAGCAAAGCAAGGTTGTGGAGAAGGGACACGCAGTGGGAAAGACCGAAGTCGACGGATCAGCAGCATAGGACAACATCCGATACCTAGACAGGAGCAGCACCGTAATTTGGACCGCCAACGCATACGAACATTGTTTGCTCTTTGGTAGTTTGGGAGCGGGCTAAATTTTGGCGTGTTCCTAAAAAAACTACATCATCTCCCACTTACATATCTCACTAGTCAGACGCTCCCTTGCGAGCCCAAGCGCAGCTTGTTTGCGGAGTCTCTGACACCAGATCCATTCATTATGTCTCGTCGAGCCTCGATCACTCTGAAATTCACTGATGATGATTCCCATCTGTGTTCTCCAGAGTGCTCTTAGTGCCTTCTCTGCTTTGTGACTCGTTTGTATTGCGGCCAGCCATGACTATGCAACCTTAGATACTTCACTTCACGGCCTTTGTACACATTTTTAGTTTTCATATCTCGAAGACTACAAGCCAATCTAATGTGCGCGTTCATCCACTTCCCAAACTATCGAGCTCCATGGTATCGTCCGTCAACAACGCCTCGTCACTCCCTGCGCCTCAAAATTCACTCTAGCTCAAACCAACAGCAATCGCGGCCAATGCCCAATCCATAAAGCCAGCATTTGTATCCAGGATGTTCTGGTTGAACTCGCTCAATGTCGGGTAGAAGTTCGTGCTGTATCCAAACTCCATCGTGTACCCATAAACCTTGCTCGCACCGGGCTTGGCCCAGAAGCGGCTGAACGCATAGTCATCACTGGCTCCAGAGGTGGGGTAGAGTCCTAGATGTTTATCAGCCTTCAAAGCGCACTACAATGTGTTTGAAATAGCTTACCAACAGATTGCCCAGCGATATACGAGCGACCGCCGACTGCTGACATGGCAGTAACTGTCTTAGCGGCGACGTTCTTGATGTTGGCAAAGTCAGCGGCAGGAATGTACTCCTTGTACACCGAGTCGCCGGTCACGCCGCGTGTGCCATCGTAGGCACTGTTGAGGAAGTTCATGGTGGACGTTGTAGTCTGGTCGTCGTCGTCGCCCCAAGAGTAAAGGATGTCACCGGCAGCGGAGTGGATGTCCATAAACCAACGGAGCTGGCGCGATGTCAGCAAACTACCATGTCTTCGTAAAGCTGGACTTACCTGAGGGAATGAGTCGTAGATAGAGACGTGATTCTTTGTTTCTGGCTCAGAGGCGGCCGCAGTGCCGTAGAAAGTCTCTGAGCTGGGCGAGGTGGAAGCAGGTGCTTCGCCGGAATCGAAGTACTTGCGGAAGTTCCACAGGAAGTCAAAGTTGCGGTTGATATCAACACCAACAGAAGTACCACTGGAGCCAGACTTGGTGTTTCTGTTCTTGCGCCAGAGCGAGCCACTGGACTGATCGTATGTGACACCATCTGGGTTGACCAGAGGGAAGAAGACGATGCCAGCAGCCAAGACACTCTTGACTTGGGCGTTGGTGTATGTCTTCTTGCCGTAAGTGAGACCAGTACCGGCTTTGCTGGCAGCGAGCAGATCAGAGATCCAGTAAATGAGCTGATCAGGTCCACCCCGTTCACGAGCATGCATACCAGCGCTGAGATAGAGGCGGTATGCAGACTTGTCTGTTCCAGCACCGACGAATCCTGCGTAGGACGTTGCGCCGTTGAAGGTCTTGTTAGGAAGTGTGACCTTGCCCACACCGTAGTTGGCAACCAAAGCGTTGAAAGCGGAGTTGATCTCGGCAACGTTCATGATGCTTGAGATCGTGGTGCCACTTGCTTGCGTACCGAGGCCGACAGGAGAAACGGTCCCGGCCTTGAAGCGGTCGCCAGTGCCAATTGGTGCTGTGGCGGCCCTCTTGACCATTTGACGGTGAATGGAGATCTCGTCGACCGACTCATACTCTTTTGTCAAGTGCGCAATCTGATCTTCGGTCAACAGCGCGTGGAGGGTGAAGTGACCATCTTCTGTGGGATGAGCGATAGGTCTGCAACCGAAGTCGTAGGTATCGTTGCGAACAATATCCCGGAAGTGAGCTGTAGTGGGTGCCTTGAGGTGAACAGGCAGAAGCTCACCCAGAGCCAGCGTGCTCTGAAGGATGAGAGCTGTACCAAGAGCGTACTTCATGTTGGCCTTTGTGGAACGGGACTGAAGGGATGCGGTCGACACAAACAAAAGCTAAAAATTGATGCTGAGCACGCCGCGTCTTATACGCTTCACTGCATGAAGGCCTTGTCGCTGGTGTATGATTTGATTTGGGTCATCTCCCCTTCTGACCCCATCAGAGCATTGGTGTCCGTTGTTTCTCTCCTTCCTACCTGCCGAAAGTCCCTTGTTCGCCGTTCCCTAATGTGAGTGGGTGCGACCAGACAGCCAATCATGCCCCCAAAACATAGTGTCGCCGCCACGCTAGCCGAGTATACCTTCCCAATGCGGTCAACCCCGGAACCGGCGCTTGCAGCGATCATTTGATCTTCCATTACCGGCGCTGCAACGTGCATGCACCGGCAAGCTTGATGGACCTTATCGCTCCTTCGGACCTTCCTTGTACTGCCTTGTTGTTGTTTGGCGGGCTTGGAGACGGGGATATATATTAGCTGCGAATGCGCGTGCGATGCTCAAGGCAGGAGCGAAGGTTTAGGAATTGGCCGGACTTAGACACGTGCTGTTTGTGGGAGGAAGGTGCTTGTTACCAATTTGCGATCCCTCTTGTCGGTTGCGACACAAGGGAGCGGGAACAAGACGGGGGTAGCCATGGGTCAACCTCGAAAAGGAAGAGCTGGAAACCACACGACGCAGGAATCTGCATGATAAGATGGAACTGAATCTTGACGGATGAAAGCTGCGATGCAATTGGTGATGATTTGTACAATGAAAAAAGGCAAATGGCCAGAGAAAAGACGCAAACCGGCCCTGCGAGTGTGTTGCGAGGGCGATGTTCCTATAGCTTACACGGTCATAGAACCGCTGACCCTTAAGTCCCTGCTGGAAGAACCGACGTTGAACTTGTAGTCACCTCGGACGATCTGCCACTCCTGCTTCTCGACATTCCAGACAGACAGATCACGGCGTCTGAGCTGGAACCTAGCCTTCTCGGTTTTTCCAGGCTGAATCTTGACCTTATGGAAACCACGGAGCTGGCGCACAGGCTCGTCGGCAGCGGCAGGGAACTCAACGTACAGCTGCGCGACCTCAGCACCTGCAACCTTGCCGGCGTTGGTGATGTCGGTGCTGACTTCAGCAACGATGTCCCAGAGGTCCTCGCGTCCACCGACGGCGAGGTCACCAGTGGCGAACTCGTTGGAAAGGAGCTTGGTCTTGGGTGTGATGTCGACCTTGCTGCCGTACTTGAAGGTGGTGTAAGAGAGACCAAAACCAAACTCGTAGCGGGGAGTAGAGTTCTTCTGATCGAAATATTTGTAGTCGATGTAGTTGCCCTCAGAGAAATCAATCGTCAACGACTCGCTGATCTGAGTGTTCGGGTCGTAGTCGGACTCGTTCTTGGCGATAGTATGAACGAGCTTGCCGGAGGGGTTGACGTCGCCGAAGAGAACATCGTTGATGGCGTGACCCGAAGATTGGCCAAGAGGTCCGCCATAAAGGATACCGGTAACGTTCTCGTGCGTAGCCCACTGGTCGAGGAGACGAGGACCGATAGTGTTGACTACGACAATCGTATTGTTGCAATTGTCGGCGACATAGTTCACAAGCCTGCAGAATGTCAGCAACTGTGATCTCCTTTTGAGAGTCGATACTTACTTGTCACCCTCGGTGTTAGTCAACTCGCTCCTGTCGCCACCCTCGCCAGCCCAAGCGTTTAGGAAAACAATGCAGGCTTCTGCGCTATCAGCAATACCAAGCGTAGTCTCAGAAATTTCTGTACCAGCGCCGTCGCTGAGCATGCCACCGGAGCTCTCAACGATAGTGTTGTTGAGCCACCACTTGAGCATGAAGCCATCGGCCTGAGCGCGCTCGTTGAAAGCTTGGAAGGGGGTGACGAGAAACGCAGCCGAAGACATAGCTGAACCACCATTCTGGGACATGTGGCCGTCCATAGTAGCATCGACACCAGTCTGTACAGTGAGAGCGGTGTTTGGGCCTACGAAACGAGGCGCAGCGTGGGTACCGAAGATGGAAATGGCCTTCTTGTTCTTCAACGGTAGTGCGCTATCGCTGTTCTTGAGCAAGACGATAGATTGGGCAGCGTACTGACGAGCCAAGTCACCGTGCTTCCCGCGGACATCAACGTTGTCGGTGTAGCCGGCGTGTTCTGGGTAGACCTCCTGCTTCTGCTTGAAGTGGCCCATCAGCTGACGGATAGCCATATCGTCCAGACGCGCTGACGAGAAAGTACCGTTCGCGATACCAGCGACGAGAGTGGAGTTGCTCCAGTACGACGACGAACCTAAGTCCAAACCTGCATTGGCGGCGTCGAAGCTAGAGTGTTGAGCACCCGCATCAGGGGAGACGTAACCAGGGAAACCGAGCTCGACCTTCAGGTACCTGGCAAGAGTATCTTGGTTCTCGCAACCGTAAGTTCCGTTGATCTTCTGCATGCAGCACATAGTACCACCGACTCCGGCTTTGACGGCATCGTAGAAAGGCGCAAGGTAAGTCTCGTGGAAAGCTTTGTCGCCAATCTCGACGCTGTAAGCCCCGCTGGACGAAGACGAAGTGGAGTTGCCAGCGTTTTGACGACGGCGCATCGAAGATGGGCTACCAGAAGTAGAATTGCCACCTGGACCACCTGGACCGCCAGCACCGCCGCCCATACCACCACCGGAGCTCGAACCTGAGCGGTTGGTTTCTTGCTCGTTGAGGATGTAGTGTTTTGCGCTGGGGATGACTCCAGATGCAGACATGCCGCTTGTCAGCTGACCCGCCATGATACCAGACAGGTAAGAGTCGGGACCATATGACTCGCCACTGCGACCGCCCCAAGCGGAACGTCCGAGAGGTTGTACAGTGGGAGCGAAGGCGACGTTCATGCCTTTACCCTTGAATTCAGCACCGAGGCCCTTGCCTTGGCCATAGATAGCGTCCTTGTCCCATGTCATCGACATTGCCAGTCCAGCAGGCCAAGCAGTGACGAAGTAGTAGTTGATCGGGTTTGCGGAGGAGTCGGAGGCCTCAAGAGCAGAAAAATTGCCAGCACCACTGCCGGTCACGAGAGAAAGCTTCTCGGTGGTTGAGAGCGAGGCAACGAACGCGGAAGCCTTGTCGAAAGCATCTTGCCAGTCACCAAGCTTAACTTTGGTGCGTTAGTGAAAATCGCGCGTGCGCTATGTGATCACTTACTGGTCCCAGAACTCAAGATAGCCTGCGTATAGTTGGGAGAGATAGCAGCGTCGACAGCACCTCCGAAGTAGAGTGCGGCCAAAAGCCAAATATCGGTCTTCATCAGCATCTTGGATGACTGAAAAATTAGATCAAAGAACCGAAGGTATGGCCTTTGGTTACTCGAATAGGCAAGTAGAAGCGAACGGATAGCAAAAAGGTTGCTGTTGCTGATGAGTTGAAACAAATGGTCTCCAACACAACACCTTTTAAACGGACTGATCATCATGATGTCCGAAATCCATGCTCACAAGCTTTGTGGCTTTGTACAAGCTTTGCACAGATATGGAATGGTCTGGCTTACGACTGTGATGACGCTCAATGCGTTTATCGTGGCTCCACAGCGCAAGCCTCAAATGAAGGGCAGATTGTGCACGCGGCCGTTAGATCATTAGCATGCCAATGCTGGCAATCTTGACTCTTGAGATAGGATATGTGTGCTAGCGCCGCGTGGCCGCGTATGCAGCAGGGGTGTCGTTTGAAACGGTCAACGGGTGTAGCCAAAGACCATCGGAAAGTTCGCAGCTTGCAACACCGTAGAAGCTGAGTCCGATGTCTTCATTGGTCGTCACGGTCAGAGTTGAAGTGTCATTTCATGCACGCTGTACACCATCTTGTTGCCGAATAAACAACCGGGCCAGAGAGCACAGGTCAAGCTTGAGCGGGCCGCACAATGGCACTAGCCGTCTGCGCAACAGATGCGGCTCTGCTCGATGATCTTCCTCAATCCTGGTAGGTTACGTATTTCAGTCTTCGCGGATCTGTGAAGATTTTGTACGAACCCATTCCACCGATCGGTGTACGTTGCATGGGACGCGTGCGGGAGTTGCCACAGAGTGATACTTGAGGGCATCATCTCCATTCGATAAGGATGCACAGGATGGCAGCGGACCCCACTAATACCGCATAATTAGTGAAATTCAAGTGTCCATCCTAGGTATTTAGGAAATTTAAGTAAGGCAAAGGCACTTAAGAGTAAAGCTTTAGCAGAGAAAGAAGCGCCATTTGCTGCGTTTCAGCGTGGCTTACATGCAAGAAGGCAAAATTGCCTCTCTGCCTGCTAATTGATTAGCCTTCACTACTTCCTAGCTAGGACAGTATAATTACATAGTAGGCTTCACCGGTTCATGTGGTCTATAAATATGCGAAGCGTCAAGGTTGACTGCTCGAGGTACTTTGGGGGGCGGACCGATTCCTCGAGGCAGTGCATAGGAGGCGCCTTTGGACAATCGATGGACACTCGCCGCTGCTCAAGCGACTGCAGCGTTTATTCATCGCCCTTCTGTGGATGTGTATCTTGTGCCGTGATTCTGGGAGAACACTTTGAGACATTGTGTTGCACGTTTCATTCGTGTGCGAGCGAGTGTTGCCAATGGCGCATATGCTGCGAAAACCCAGGCAAGCGCCATGCTCTCTCGAAAAGTGGCGAACGTAAGGCTGTCCAAGAGATGAATGTCGATGGTAAATAATACGGCAAGTTAACGGGAAAAGAGATCGGTGCTAGGCTGGAAGGCGTCAGCCGAGCACCAAAAACAGCACCCATCTTCAACGCGTCATAACTCAACGATTATGGCACCTATTGATGATGCGCTTGCAACTATCGAAGCGCTGAAACCAGGAGAAAAACTTGTATATCAGGCTTTTGCTGATAAATATGGCGTTGACCGCTCAACTTTGCCGCGGAGACACAAGCGCGTTCAGCTACCTCTAGAGATCAAGAACCTCAACCAGCAGAAGCTCACCCCGCAACAAGATGAGGAACTTTTTGGGTACACAGAGTAGTTGACTGCTCGTCACATACCTCCTAAAAGAGAGATGATTGCGAATTTCGCGTCATTAGTGGCTTAGGAACTAGTTAGTGAGAGCTGGGTTACGGTCCTTAACCCAGCTATTAGAGCAGGGCTGTAAGGCAACAGCGGATGCGAAATTTTGTACCATATGCCTTGTAGGTGGTGAGTGACGCGCTGACAACTCTTCTATATACTTGACTAGATCTGATTCCTGTTAGTTGCTGATTTGTTGGTTCTTGTTGGCGACGCGTTGGGGAGCCTGCACACCCCAGTGCGCGCGGGACAACGTGTTGCAATCAACACTGTGTTTTTCTGCAAGCTTTATATATACAAGTTTCTCGCCTGGCTTCAGATTATCAATCTCTGCAAGCGCATCTGAAATTCCTGGCATGGTGCTTGAGTAATCACACGTTGAAATCTACTGCAAATGTTGTGCCCTGATCGTTAGTTGACTCCGATCGTTGGGTGCACGGACACGGTACCGGTACCCGTGCACGGACACCGGGTGGGCCGGGTCACCAGGTGGGCCACCCCACCAACTTTGTCACCACATTTGACCCCCCCTCCACAACGTCACCACGATGTCGTTGCAGGCTGCTCTTTCATACATAGACTCTTTGAAACCAGGAGAATCTTTTTCGTATAGACAGTTAGCCAAGAAATACCATATTTCCCGCACCACTTTAACCAACCACCACCAACGTCAGAGAAGGACTAATGAAGATGCCCACAAAGATCAACGTCTCCTCCACCCACGCAATAAGGCTGAGCTTGTAAAATACATCAAAAGCTTCACAGAGACTCACTGCCCACCTACGCGGCAGATAATAATTAATTTCGCGACCCCCTTGTGCAGTTGGGAGCCCTCAGATCGGTGGGTTTCCAGGCTCATTCAC